TTGTTCTAACAGATGATGGCTTCACCTGCCCAGTATTTCTAACTTCGGATATGAGGGTTGATAAGATAAACGTTGGAATGAGAGTCAACCCGTTGTATAAAAGATGAATGATAGGTGTGAGTAGATGAATTGAGAGAGTTAATTACTTCTCTCTATGGGGAACTCCTTCTGTACAGTCTTTCACGGGATATACAACGATGATGATAAGATAAGTGAATATAATTTCTTTTCCATTTACCATTATTGATGTTGCAGATGACGAGATCAGTGAGACGAAGGTGCGCTCTTCTCTTGTGCGTGAGGAAGTGAGTGAGAGAAGTTTGTCTTTAGTTTTGAATTTCTCTTTCTGATTTTGCTCAAATCCGACGGATATCTTATGACCTCACATATTCGATGTTCTGAAACTGTTATGATTGGACCATCAGATTGTTAAGCAACACTGGCCCCACCTTTGTGCTAACATAATGATGGCTTCACCTGCGCAGTATTTCGAGCTTCGGATATAACAGTTGATAAGATATACGTCGGCAGGTCATTCAAGTTATCTTGCGAAAGTAAAGTGGTGGGTGAGAGTTGTTGTGGTATGAGAGCAATGTTCTCCTCGTTATGAGGAGTAATCCCGGGTGGGTGTCTGCAAAATGCGGACCCTGCCTGGGTCGGCAGAACTTTTTATCTTTGAGGATTTTTCAGCCTATATAAAGGTTTTGCGAACACTAGGGATAAGGGGCCAGTTGGAAGAGTGGATAAGGCAGTAGTTCTGAGTAAGAGCTTGCTGGTTCGCTCCCCGTCAACTAACTGTAGATTGTTACCCGACGCCCCTACCCCAATCTCAACCGAAGGTTGAGAAACGGTAGGTTGAGAAAGGAAGCCTCCTGTGGTAGGAGGAAGATGGTAGGAGTAAAAATATATTTTGATTAAATAAAGTATTTAATTTCTGAAAAATTTGGGCATAGCTTCGCCCCGACAGCCGGTTGTCCGAGTGCAGTCCCCACAACCCCCTCTTTTTCCCGCTACTCTCAATCCCCACCTTCAACTCCCAAGTTCTAACTTGCTTCCATCTCACACACAACACTTTTTTTCCGATTTTATGATGTCCTCTAACATAATTCGAATTATTTTTTTGATTACTAACTTTTACAAAGTTAATGAACCATCGTTTTCAAGTTCTTAGTTCTCTCTAAACATCGAAACAAAGTTCTCATCACTTCTCGAAATCTACAGTGAAGGTCAGAAAACAGGACCAGGATTCCAAGCAAAACCGTTTTACTTACAAACGATTTAACCATTTTCTCAGGCATAATTCGACGCAGCACAGTTAGAAAAAACGGAAAACATTGGAACCATTCGAGAATCCTCAAATTTCACTCAATCCCTCTCTTTACTTCTTGCAAAACTTCACCTCATCCATCTCATTATGATTTTTGAACAGTTCTGTAGCAATGATATAAACACAAAAAGCTTACTAAAGTTATTGCAAAAGCAATGAAGCATCATGAAACATTTCGCACGTTCTACACTATACAAGTGAACAAACGGTAGTACTCACGACCACAAATGTCTGTTTTTTTTAAATCCAATTATATTCGAAAAATCTCGCACACAACCACAATACTACGTACAACACAACACACAACATATCCAACTACTCACAACACTTCTTACTTTTTGCAACACGTCTAGCTTGCAACACGTCTAGCTTGCAACACATCTAACTACTCGCAACACATCTAACTACTCGCAACACATCTAACTACTCGCAACACATCTAACAACTCGCAACACATCTAACTACTCGCAATACATCTAACTACTCGCAATACATCTAACTACTCGCAACACATCTAACTACTCGCAATACATCCAACTACTCGAAACATATCTAACTACTCGCAATACATCCAACTACTCGCAACATATCTAACCCGCAGCGCACCTTGCTCCTCGCGCACATAATGAACAATGCGAGGCGATTTACCGATAGAGTTCCAACTACAAAAGATCAATATATACTACAGATCGAATGAGATCACTATTTTCCCGGTTATGATCTGTTGAACGATCACTTGACTACATACTGTACTCAATGGGAATTCGTTGGAAGAAAACATTGTGGAAGCTGAAGCTTTAAGCTAATAGTTTACAAATATTATAATAATAACAAGCTATTGAATATGTTTAAAATAAGAGATCGATTGAACCGTATGAGAGTGAATAGCCGCATCTAATAAGTTAATATATCTACGTTGGAACGTTGAGGCACGGGATATCAGCGGAATCCATAGTTTCTCGAACGTTTTTTCCTCTTCTAAGCCCACGGCGAGGATTGACTTTACTGGTTTTTGCATTTTCTCTCAGAGGACTTCTTATTACATACCTATAAAAGTTTGGATGGAGGGTTGACAAAACTATAAAACTTACACTATGTCCCCTTCTTCTAGCTGTAAATCGATAGAGGGATTAATGATCACGAAGGAGATCACATTGGATTTATCGTAGCTATCAAGCCCTAAAAAAAGAATTTTATAAAGTGATGCCATTTTTTCCTCAACCATCTTGACTGCAAGTCATTCCCAAGTTTCTCATCTTATTTTTGACATGATCGTACATATCTTTCCTACGTGCATACTGAGCTTGCTCATAGTCAACAGAACAGCATCTTCGTTCCAAATCCAGGGATACCTAATAAGAACGAAAAGTGTTTGCGACATGAAAAACTATACCGTTTTAGAATCCATAACTTTAGTACGGAATATACCAATCGGAATATCAGATACGGTGGAGCATAGTTGTTGATACAAACGTCCATAAGTTTTAATCCACAGATCGTCACTTGTTATTACAAACTATTTGTAAATGAGAAATTGTAATAGATAAAACTTGAACTAACTGAAGTTAAGAACCCGCTTCCGGATGACTGATCGATTCCTAATAATAGTCTTGTTAGTTGAACTACATACGGTTTTATAAGAGATTGGTACAGAAGACTAGAAGTTTGATTAAAGCTTAATATAAAAAAATAAGGAATACCGATCAAGCATATTGGCACTGAATACACCACCTTGTGCGAAAGGCAGACGGAACATGAAAGGCATATGAGAACCTCGCTTTCTCTCATCCTGCTCGAAAAGTATTAAGAACAGTAGTTTTATTTTCCCACCTTCTCGAAGCGGGACTGTGCAAGGGAGTATGGATCGTTGGGGTTGAACTGGACAAATCGCATATTGGATGCATGAGTGAGTTCAGTGATCATTCGTAATGTTGGAAACATCCTATATAAGACTCGGATATAAAGCTAACTGACTAACAGAGTGTACCTATGTATCTTCTGAACTGTAATGATGGTGCTACAATCAGCAAAATGTTCTTCAACCAGAGTTGCCGTTTCTTTCACGACAACAACTTGTTCAGCATTTGATACTCCCGCAATGAGAAGCTTGTCCAGGCTTAAGGTATTGTGATGAATGTTTTAATAATGAGATGGTTACTTTGAAATTTTCCCTTTCATCCAATAAACTTCTGGGAAGTAAGATATAGCATCCAAAAATGCTGAGCTCGGCTCAGTCTCAGTATCTTCCAGTTCAAGCAAAACTATAATAGGGTGGAGAGTATGAACAGGTCTATAATACGCTCTGAAAAACATAAAAAAAATGTTTGCAGCGAGAAAAAGATTAACACCTCAAGGGAATAATTAAGTTATACATTCCACTACTTGGCCGATCTGATGCTAAAATAATCGGCCGATTACGCCAATTATAAGAATGAGCTGTGATATTAGGACTGTGCAAACAAGCCTGCAATACAGAAATTTTAGAAGCCTTCTGTAAATCCCTACTTTATCAAGCTGTAAACAACAGAATGGTCTTTTTTCTTTCATCATGTGGCAGATAGTATTAGATGTTCCTATATAAGTCCGTACTTGTGGATAACTTCGTTGTAATCTATAAACTATTGCTATAGATCCCTACTCATAAAGAAACAACTTGTCTTGAATACAAGTGCCACGACATGTATCACATTGTTCGTCGTCATCGTCGTCACTTGAGGAATTTTTAGCATCCATGACCATTGCTATTGAAGGACGGCGACTCGCTTCATTTGGCACTTCAATCAGACGAACTTCATCTGTTGCCTAAATTAGAAGTGTCGAAACTATCTAGGAATTGAAATTACTTTTGACTTTTGCAACAGCCCACGCTTCTTATTTGGCTTCTTCCTACCTTCTTCTAACGATGGCACGTCAATTGCTACGGCTCCTATAAACATTTGAAATATTACATTCCAAAAAACAATAAATTTGAAAATGCAAAAACTATCGCAGCGAGCAGGGTTCGAACCTACGCGGGCATAGCCCATCAGATTTCAAGTCTGACTCCTTAACCACTCGGACATCGCTGCACGTTTTCTTCCATTTATGCTATCACAACATACCGATGTTCGCTATGCTTGACGCAACATTAGCTCTTCGTTGTTGTGTTTTCAAGTCCTTGCGGAAATCATAAAGAGATTCTTCGTTTGTTAATCCCATGTAATACAGAATATCTGACGCTTCAAGAACATGTGAAGTTCCTGGATTCAAGCGCATTTTCGCATTTATTTCATTTGGTTTAACTCCAATCAGGCCGATACCATAACTGAAAAAGAGTTTTTAGGAAAAAAAAGTCAAGAATACTAACGATTTGTGAGCATGGAAAGAGGCATAGGTAAACGATTTCCCAATGAAATCACCAAAGAATTTACTGTCTTCCACTCGAATGTGATAGAGCTCGTTACCCGAATGAAAGCCATAAACTTTGTGCCATGGTTCACTAGACTTCTTTCCTTCCCTAGAAAGATTTGTCATGATCAAAGCAAACAATGGTTGCACTTACTCTCCTCTTGATGTATGAACTAGCAGAGTGATGAAGGTAGATATTCCAGGACAAATGCAATTGTTGGCTAAGAGAGCATATTTGAACTCGTCTTCGCAGACCAAAACTTCTGCAAATGGAAAGTTGTCTTAGTAAAATATGAGCAAGGTATTAATACCAGCGTGTTCGATGTGCATCTTTGTTTCTGGGCGGAATATTTGAACATACTGTTTCACATTTGGAGCGAAATCCTTGACAGCCCATGATCTCAGAATGGTATGCTCATCCTAAAAATTATTCTCTTCTGTTTTCACTAAATGAGCACGTACTGTGAATATTTTGCGATTGACATGTCGCGCTGCAAGTATGAAGCAAGCCTTCGCCGTTGACAACTTAGATCTTGAAATATAATGTATGTTAGAAAACAACGGTAGAGCGAACCTTTCGAGATCTTCATCTCTCAGAGCACTTCCACGAACATAGAAAACTTTTTGACTCCATAGAGGAATTTTCAATAAAAGCCTCATTGAATTATCTAATTCGCCTGGTGATAGAAGCACAACGTCGATGTTCTTGAATGTAAGGAGTACAATACGTTCAAGAAAGAGAATAGGTCACCTGGTTTTCGGGATGGGCATAGAACTCATCTAAAAAATCTCTCACGAACTCTACTTCCAGATGAGTAATTGTAACAACTACGTGCTCCTGAGCAGCCCAACGACTCGAATATTCACCACCAGATTTTTGTCTCTCTGACCACGTCTGTCCGAGTGATTCCAACTGAAATTTTAAAATCAAAAAAGACAGACATTTTAAAAACAAACCTGAGACGGTAACATGATCAAAGCAACACAAATGAGAATGACTACACATAACCTAGACATCCAGTTATCGGGATAACTAAAAGACATAATGAGAAAGAATAGCAATTGAAAGAAATACTTACAAATCACCATAGCCGACTGTAGAGAGTGTAACCATAACAAAATAAAAACTGGTAAAGAGATCAAACTTTCTCCCACCTCCACGTTGAAAATGCTCAATCATGCACATCCCTTGAACATCATGCATATCAAGAGAAAAATATGTTAAGCTCACAGGTGAAAATGAGACAGAGTAATGTAGTGAACAAAAGAGACATTTGAGTGAACAGAGCTGATTGCCTTACAGATGACATCCGGTTCAGGTCATTCTGAAATAGAGAACTCTTTAACTATAATAATTTGAGACAATTACCATCATAGCTTGAAGAGCACTTTTCGCCAGCCAACAGTTGAGAAAAGCCGGAACAAACAATTGTCTCAAATTCGGATTAAAAATCTAAGATATCGAAATGAGTAAGTTCATTGAAATAGATCCACTTACACTAATGATGAATGGGCAACTAGTGATTATTTCAAGTAAAAAATGAACATTATATAGTAATTTAACAATATTTCCCTGGAGTCATATGTTCAATCTAATAAATGGGAAACAATTTACCTGATAAGAAATATAGAAGATGAGGATAGTTTCTATGATGGAGATGAAAGCCACAACAGTTTGTATAAACCATAACTCATAGCTACATTCAACCCATGTCAGCTTCTCCCTTCAATCATTAACATTAATGATAAGAATATATCACACTTCATATAGACATAAATTGATATATAAATACTCACAATTGAATATCACCCGGATCTCGTTTGGCAGCATTAACATGATCAGGCAAATCGCCATTATCTTGTATTACACGAACACAATACAAAGCACACGATAAAACTTTTATGAAAACATTGAAGAGTCGAATACGTAAACCTTAAATAAACAAATAAAAACAAATGTAAAAAACTTATTTTCATTTTCGAAAATGAACTTACTTGACTTCTGATTTTCTATGAAATATTGTTGTAGTCTTGACTTGAAACTTGTATCCACTCCATATTGCATGCGAGCACTGCAAAAATCAATAGATATCAATACGTGTAGATAAAAAAATAATAAAAATTTTAAAAATTTTTGACTTGGAATTGGATGGAAAACGTAACGAATATACTCAAATGTTGTTTTCGTCAGCTTTTTTTTCTCTTTTCTTCATTCCTTAAAAAGATCGATTGAGGTTGTTAAGTATTATAAGCCGTTTTCACATTTCCTATTTTTCTTTTTTTGTCACAATCGAAAATCTAGACGTTGACGAGAGAATATCATCTCGTGCAATGTAAGTGTGAATGCAATCGACCGCTCCGTACTAGCGCGCTGATGTGAAATGAATCAAAAATGAAGTCAAGTTCTCACGTAAACACACGTGTGTCACGTGAAGATAGCGTGAGAATGAAAATAAGAACACATAAATACGTACAATCCTTCGGTAAAAGATGTCACTTTTTTTGGTCGAAAGCCGGGTAACTCTGTTGTTTCTTCTTCAAGAAACAGCTGAGAATCGATTGTGGAGTCTTCTGGATGTCGAAACTCTTCATCATCTTTACGCATTCTTTAATTGCAGTCCTTTTGAAGTTAATTAAGTTTGTTTATTCACAAAGTAATGAAGTAAGTTGTTACATCTGTGTGCTGAGTAGACCTGGAGCAAAGAAAACTTTTTTCAAAAGCGAAAAAGAAACAAAAAAACTCAAAAAGTAGTTGGATAGAGAGGGTAAGAGAAATGAAAAAAAAGGAAGAAATTTCAGAAATTTGGCAATTAATTTAGAATTCAGTGATAGCTCAATGAATGTTGCTTCCAAAGTCGATATGCAGATGAGAAAATGAAAAGTATTCGTAGGAATATCTAATTCGCTGAGAAAGAATAAGAAGAGACCAAGTATTCTTACTGCGAGATGTTGTAAGATTTTCAATAAAAAATGCAAAAGATGTGTTTGATTTGTGAGTAAACCATTCATTTATAAATAAAGAGAGAGCAAGAGATCTGAGAGAGAGAGACAGCGTAAGATAAGGTTGAAAGTAAAGACCTGAGACAAATCTTTTTTTTTGGCTCATTCAAGCAATTATGTGGAAATATACTAAGAGCCAATAATGCTTTTATTGAATTTTTCTAGTTTATAAAGAGAGAGGGAGTAGAACAGCGAGCCAAAGGAGGGTCTCCCGAAAAGACACATTGTGTTTTTGATTAAAATGCAAATGGCTTCACATCGTTTGTCTATTTCATTCAAATGAACTAATTAACAATTCTTGAGAGAGATATGAAAATATGAGTTTTGGGTTTGAAAAATAAATGTTGCAGCTAACAGGGAGTATTGCAATGAGAAAGCTCGAGAACGGAAGTTGTTTCTGCACAATCCAACTATCCATTCGTTTGCATTGTCTTCTATCGGCATATACACTCTCATCAAACCAGCAAATTTGATTTGTCACTCACATATGACATACTCACAACTCAAAATATTTTTTTTGTTGCCGAGGTTAGAGCATCAACTTACGGTTTTACCGGGGCTGTTGACTCAAAAAATCTTGTCATCATCATAGTCTGCTGCTGCTCAACTAACACAATAGCAAGCAGGCTCGTTTTAAACAACAAAAAGTTGACAGAAAAAAAAGTTGTGTAAAAGCAAAGTCAAGAATGTTTAAAAGAAATATGGTCTCTTGTGAAGGCATTTTAATAAAAAGAAAGATTCTTACAAGTGAATAACAAAGCCATTTTACTAATGAAAGCAACTAACAGCTTCAGTTCAAATCACAGCTTATAAATGGAAGGATAAAATGGAAATTTCTTGGTTGGAACAACAAGATGGCCAGAAAAAAGAAAAAAATACATCTTCGGACAAAATAAGCGAAAGAATATTTATTTTCACTTGATAAGTTCTTCAGCTTTATTCTCTCTCATTCTTTCTTATTATTTCTCTTGCTCTTTCTCTCTCTTCCTCTGCCCTTCTATGATTTCTCCCTTGAGGATGAACAGAAATTTTAGAAAATCTCACAAATATATATGGAAAACTTACAATTCTAGTTGAAATTTGGTCGGAGGATGAAACATCTTCTGATAGGATCTCAGCTGTTTAGACTGATAAATCCTTACATCTTGTAGTCAAAATATCTTGCAAACCTTCACACAATTGAAAATAAATGAAAATGTGAATATCAGATCGCTTTTTATGTGATTTCGACTACAAAATGTCTTGAAAAGCCATTCATTTGAAGTGGAAAAACATCGTTTTATCATTCAGTCTCTCTCGTTCCCTCCCTCTTCCTCTCTCTCTAGCTCCCTCTCTCTTCTGCCCTCTCCCTTCTTCTTTCCCTCTACCACTCCTTCTTTTCATTTACAAGAGAATTTACATGTTACTATGGAGAATTGTATGCAAAATAGTTCAGGAACAGAAGAAGCTAGAAGAGAGGTAGAGAAACGCCAGATGATATGAGGTGAAATGACTTGATCTCGAGCAATCATAACACTATGACTTCTCAATACATTATTTAAAAAGAAAAAGATATTTTCGTGTTTACATGTTGTATCCGTAAAAAAGAAGTAAACTTACGGATCTTCGATGTCTTTTTTTCTACGAAAAATCATAATTTGCAGAAATGAAGCAGCGCCTCCAGAAGCTCAGGTCGAAAGCAAATAGGGAAGGAAAAGGTTAAAACAAACAATCTGTATAGAAGATGGCCAGACTTCTAATCAGACAAAATAACATAAAATGAGTGGAAGGACTTAGAAAATGAAAGTTTTAATTAAAAAAACTCACGTATTCGAAGGTCGAAGGAGGTTGCTGATACTTCTTTTCATGCCTTGTATCGAAAGAACACTTGTACGACGACTACAATCGATCGGACGAAGATCATTGATGGCTTCAGAATAATTGTTTGTAAACAGCATAGTGTTTTCTTCAGTTTCTGAATCCTGATCCGTCATATCTCTATAATAACTTATATGGGAAATGAATTCAACAATATAGATCAATTGAGGTTAGCAAACAATCCACTCTGATCTCTCAAATATCATACAAATCAATAAATTCAGTCTCCAGAAAGAAGACGTTTGGACATCGTCGGAGCAACGAATTCAGATAACATGAAGTTCGGAGAAGAAAAAATGAAATTATGAAGGTCAAATTAAGGCGGAAGACTCGTTACTAAGCCGATTATTAGGTTTCTTCAGAAGCTTTCCACACATATTGGCTTACAATTAGGTTTGTATAGGAAAAGGACAAAGATCGATGATTTTTTAGACGAAAGTAATTTTTGAAAGTTGAAACATAGGCGATTAATAGTAGAAAAGCTTCCTTGAAATGAATATTCATAGCTATTCTGACAAGAAACATAGGACAAGTTGGCATTCACTAACGATTATCAACTTTAACGGAAAAGCTTGAAAAGTGAATTGTCAACACGATATGCAATTGCTGAAATTCAATAGTTGAAAATTGAAATAAAAAGAATATATTTCTATTGAAGTATAGCTTTTTGTGCTGTTTTTGTTGTGCCGCATTGCTTCAGTTTCTTACTATTGATCATTTCGCTTTATCGCCAGGCTCATACTAAGCAAAGTTGGATCCTTCATTTCTCCAATGATAGCCAGTCCTCTCAAGTAATTTGGGCGGAATTTTCATACACGTACACATTCTCATATAAAGTTGTGTCATTCAAGTCTGTTTCAACTCATTTGCATATGTAAAGCGAAACGTGGAACTCACGTGAATCTGAATGTATCCTTCAATCAGATTTCATTTGATATTCTGCTGGTTGTCTGGACGGCTGTGCTGTGACTTCTCTAATCTCTCTCGTCGTCCAAATATCCCATTATATCTAATTTAGCCATCGCATCAGAGTCACAGCGATGACAGAGTGGTCTCGGATAGAACGATTGTTGAGTACGTAGCGTTCGTGGTGTAATGGTCAGCATGGATGCCTTCCAAGCATTCGACGGGGGTTCGATTCCCCCCGAACGCATACTTTTTAAATAATTTAGAAAAAAATTATTTGAACGAAAATCAAGAGATTTAAAATTTTTAGGATATCTTTCATAAATTAGAAGGCTCAGTAAGGATGAATTTACGAAAACATTATAACGTTTCCCGTTAATACATGTTCAAAGAACAGAATTTGTGCCATTGCTCACAGAAAAAGTTGATGAAGTTCCCATAGACCTATTAATCATGGTAGGAATAAAATCATTCACGTCATAACATTAGCCAATCGTTGTTTATTTCAATAAGTGAAACTTTTTTGGTCTAAAATAGGAATTAAATGAAATATATAAGCTCATTAGCATATAAGCTTCGATTATGGATAAATTAACATAATCCCACGTGTTAAAGTGAACAAACATTATAACTTTGTTTAGATTACAAAGATTATTTGAAATCTGTGTTATCAAGACGAATTGTTCTTATTAAGTACAGTTTTTAATAGTAAACTATACATATAGTTTGTTCGTCAGACTATAAATAGAAGAAATATGATGTATGATTGTAACAAAGGATGAAAAAAAAAGAAAATTGTCTTGTTGCTTGGCATTCGAGTATTTAGATCTTCATACCTCTTAACGGAAACGGACATGTTTTTGATGAAACAAGAAATTCCAATATCAAAGCACACTTTTCCCATTTTGAACTGAACGGCAGCAAATTCGCATGGAATCAAAAGTTATTTTCGGGCAAGCTCTGGATGACGAAAGTAGAATATTCCGTAAAAGGTCAATTAATATGTACATAGATTGCCCAATGAGCCGAAGTCTTAACTACATGCTCTTCCTTGTCCAGCAAACAATTGGCTCTCAAAAAGGTAGGCGCTGAACCCTGAACTATAGTTGCCAAACATCCATTTCATTTATTCACTTAAGATAACATATTTCTCAAACTGGAAAACCCACGAAAGCGAATGATGAAAGCCAAATACTCTCTCTAACCTGTTATTAAGCTTTCTTTTCTAAAATTTGTTGACATATCTATTAGGTTCGATCGAATTTCACCTCAAACACTTTTGCTTCTTGTTTTTCCCTTCATCAAAACTTCTAATTTCTAATTAAAATTATAATTATGTCGTCCGGTAGTTTGTGTGACCATCATCAGATTCACATCTCCTCAAGCATTTTTTCATTCTCCCATAATGATGTACATGCATGAAGAATAAACAAATAAGACAAATTTTGATACTCCAACCTTTTTGGATGACGAAAGCATTTCAAAATTTACTTATTGGAATCAAATAGCAGCTAGAAAACTGATTTTCATAAGTCTCATTAGCCTCAACGACAACCGTGGTCACATTACGGGTCTCAGATTCCAAAATATTCGACGAAGAAGAGCAGAGCTCATAGCTCCATCATAAAAAAATTAATACAATGATTAGATGGAGAAACCTGACTTCATGGATTCCTATTCAGTTGTCAAATCATATTGTGATGCTTGGTTCATTAAAATTACAAATTAAGCAATATTTTTCTCATGATCTGAGGTATTGGTTAGGCCTTCCTATCGCTTATAGGGGGCGGTGCTTGTGCTTTGCCTAGTTCGGCAACCCTCCTCCTTCTCCTTCGTCTCATTCTCCACCTCCGTCATCTTTTCATCAGACGACATCAGAAGCTGCTTCTTCCCAATTTCTTAACATCTGCCATGTCGTCGACACAAACTATAATTTTCTCCGTATTTTTTCTTCTTTTCGCCTTGTGCTTAGGTGAGTTATCAGTTACAGTAGTGGAGACTGGAAGAAGTTCCTGATCTCTTCAGTTTCAATTTCTAGAAATAGCCTTCGGCTAACCTGTTTTTATCTTGCAACCCTCATTTGCTGACTCATAATTAGTATTTTGGATAGAAATTCTAAAACTTCAAGCAGAAGGACATCATTATTCTTGCATTTTAAGAAAAAATTAAACTGTTTTTCATCCAAATTCAACGATTACATCACAACATGATGATGATCGTGATGAACAGCAAATGAACGAAATTTCAATTTCGAATCAGCATTAAACATAAAATAGTTAAGACAATTAGCATAAATACATATATGCCTGAATATAGCTATATGAGACCCATTATTATAAAAAAATATTTTTATGCAGATGATTACGTCTTGATATCCTCTATCTTGTTTTCTTCATCCTGAATTAAACTGGAATTTGAATAATTTCGAGACGTTTATATGTAAAAACGGCTGTCACGTTATAATCTGACGAAATGCTTTCAAACCAAAGGTGCACAGACTCGGCTAGCTAATCACTCCAGAAAACGCTTTCATTACTATTAAGAGAGCTTGCACTCTCAGCAACTTAACAGTGCTTCGATAAGTCCCAATAAACATACTTGCCTATAACCTTTTTTGACTTAAATTGACTTCAGAAGCAAAGAGGCGAGACAGAGAATCATTTTTGGTATTTTTCTCTTCACGAACCATTCTGAAAGAACACCAGTGGCTGAGAAAAAACAAAAATGGAATTTTTTCCATTTTTCCGTATTAATCCACTTCTCGTGTTTCTGTTTTCTTAAGCCAATCGTCTTCCTCCTATCCTCAACACGTATACATATCCATATATGAGAGAAAGAATGACTTTGGCATAACTGTGCCTTTTCAACTTCCAATCAAGAATCAAGAAAGAAACATGTTCAAAAGGTCTGTGATGATATGACGCTATCATGATTCAAAAATGTGAAATATGAAGCCATTTATGTCAGGACAATCTTTCTTTTCAAAAGTTTTTACTCAAAGACTTAAAGAAAAGGAAGATAAAGGAGAAATGACAAGAAAGGAGAAACCAGAAAGAAGGGATGTCGAGAGAGAGAAGGTAGAGAGTGAGCAAAAAGATGGAAAGAGGGAGAGAGTACAGCAAAGTAAGGTAGGTTGAGAGAAAAGAAGATGATGAGTTGAAAGCCGTGAAAGAATGTTTTCCACCTCGAAATTTGAAACAACCAAGATCAAAGTGCCTCGGGGTACGGTAGCTTTTCATCGAATGTCTTTGAATTGCAACTTATGCCACGAACACTGGCATGATTTAGTCATCGGGGCAGTTAACTTTTGGCACAAAAAGTTAGATAGCGATATGTTTTTACTTGGAAAGGAAGCGCTTATGGGATGACTGACCAACAAGAAAGGACTAACGAACGTCACAGGAAATGGACTCGAATCTTAGAAGCCATGAAGCAGGATGTTTATTAGATTGCTCTTTGTCTTCTCCGCTTCCATCATTTTTTTGAAAATTAAGAGAAAACAAATATTGTCAAACCACTTAAGAACTTCCTTATTATATTCAAAAATCATAATAGTTCATAGGTTATTGTTTTTGAGAAAATCAGTCGACATAAATTAGAGCGAGAGAGAAGAATTCGAATCAAAAACTCGTTGCAAAACGAGACAGTAGGTTAGGAGTCATGTTCGAACTCATAGCCTTAGTTCTCTTTATCTTTCGGCTTTCTCTCTTTTCTCCGCATTTGCCTACATCTTAGAACTTCTGCTTTCATGAGATCTTAGTGATCTCATTGATCACTCTTTCTTTCTTCCTCTCTTGAAAAGGGTCGACCTTCCGAGTACAAGAACGAGCACAACAAAGAAAGAGGATTGAAGACAATCTCACATTTAACCTCTCTTATCATCTAACAATATTTGTCGTCACTCCTAATGAAGAGTTTGTTAGAAAACGAGGCCTTTGACATCTGAAACACAGCGTCAGCCTACACAAGGGGTTGAAATTAAGAATTGAAAGCAGAATAAAGATGAAGAAAAAACATATGACGACGACTCGAAGCAGTATAAAATGACGAATAAGACAAATCACTTTCTTGTAGATGTTCTTATGAGGATAGCCCTTTAATAGCATTCTCTTGGTTGTCAGGTTGATGTCTATCTGAGGCATCACCTGCTTCATTCATCACGGTCTGATGACGTCAAAATTGTCAAAATTTTTATTTTTACGTAACCACATCCTCTTGATGGATTACTCTACCCTACAAGAATAGTGTTTTGCACTTCAATTATGAAATGAAAGTATACAGCTCATGAAATATTCAAAAATCGTTTTCTAATAAAATTAGAAATTCTATAGTTCTCGTGAGCATATGCCATAACAAGCAACCTATCTAGATTTCATAACATCTCTCAGCTCTTAAAAAATACGTAATACCCGCTTCTCAATTATGAAAACTCTTTTAGCTCGGTCAGAAATGGAGTCTGTCGGAGAACCTGTTGAGTACAGCGACAACCAAGTTTTCGATAACGCAAGGGTAAGTTTTGAGATATACTAAAAGCCTAATTTCATCATCTAGCTTCCAATGTACCTAAGTGGAGCTAACGGCTACCAAAAGCGATGGGCCAATCAGGTGCGCTTCGGAAAGCGAGGAAGCTGGGCTTCTAGCGTCCGCTTTGGTTAAAGAAAATTACTGATCTCGAGAAGTGTTTGATTCTCTAACAGTTTTATACAAGAGCCTTTTCCTTTTTTTGATATGACTTTGACCATACGCAGTTATGACAGCCGAACCGAGTGTATTACACCCCTAAGCCTTGGAATCATTTGTCAACCTTTACATAAAACTATTTTCACATTAACTTTGCCTGTTTGTGAAAAACACGTAGATCATCTTGCCAATAGCTTAAGTCTCAGAACACCCCAACCGAATCCATGTGTTTTACTAATTTTTTAAAACTTGCTCTTCACACGTTTGTACTTATTTAACAATCATAACTAACTTCATTATTTCCATAGTGGGGTCATCCTCAAGTTCCGTTGAATACTTCCTTCGTCCTATGATAAATATAGTCGTTGTTACCTAAGAATGGTCGATTTCAGCATTCATGACACTTCTCCTCTAATCACCTGCACATAACTTCCCCTACAATTAACAAAAGACATCAATTTATCGCCAGAAATTGTGACGTGTTTCCTGCTCATCTCAGCTGACCAGAAATTCCCGGAAGCTTACGTGAGGAAGCCCTTGGGGTAGACATCATTCTGTTGATGATAGGGCTGAATAACGGTTGTGTTCTGACTACGCGAGAGTTAGAGAAGTGAGGTAATGGGAGTCAGGTTGCACACTCATAAAGTTTGATGATACGAGAAACAAAAAGGTTTATTATTATACAAATTGAAAAAAGGTACTTTGAGCTAACATCATAATCATCAGTAGACGAAAACGATCAAATACCGTCAATTTATGCGAACAATATGTCAAAGACAAAGTTGTGAAAGAATATTTTGTTTCTACATCACAGGAAAGCTCAGATAAATTTGATTATGGCTTAAATACAATTATACGAGTTGAAGACTGATTATTCAGTGCCAATACCAGTGAAGTGAGTTTAGAAGTGAAGATATAAAACAGGAACTTTGAATTAGAAATAAAACAGATCAACAATTAAACAGTATATTGCATTGCGTAGAAATAGACTAGCGTAAGTTTTGATAGATTCGAGATAAAATAGCACCTGGTAAGGGAAAGGCAAAGGCTTGATATTCAATTAAAGTCAGTGTGATTTCAAGTTCAAAATTGATCAACCTTTGTACAGTTTTATAAAACGTAGGATCACCTACTAACAAGTTGCATTATTTGCATGAAAGTTTGTTCAAATTGGGGGAGAATATGTTGCTCTGCTAGTTCTGGGTTTGACCCTGACGTGGACGCACATGTTCGGAGTTGCCTTACATATACTTCTAGCCTATTTAACAATTCTCTGAAAGATGGAGTATGCTGATTCAGTAAACTACTAAAACTCTACCTAAATCGGAATTTGCTGTGTGGAGTAATCTGTTCTGCGTATATGGCACAAGTAGAATGAAACTGCTGCATTAAATCACTAAGACGTATGAGGAGTGCTAAGCGAGAGTCACCTCTTGGAGCCTAATAAAAATAAATTTGGAGAGAATAAAAATTACAGATTATACCTGAGTAACTCTTCCAACTCTTTCATTCCGTAAATCCTGAACACAAGATTCAAGTTGGCTATAAAGTTCCAACAGCGATTCTTTACTGACTGAAGATGGGTCAGCTGCAGACGTAGCACTAATGGGCTCATGCGTAGGCACATGTATTACAGATGGAGCACGAGGTTTTTCCATCAGTGAAAACCGCTTTTGTGAACTAACTACAGAAGGGGTCCGGATAGGAACAGGAGCTGAAAATGGTAAGTAAGCTGTGAAAAATCAATATCTGAGCTTAGGAAAACAAAGGAGATAGCTAATGGCATAACGAGATGTTGATCTCACCAATTAACTCAACAAGGCTTTTTTCAGGAACAGAAGCAATGTAAACGTAATAAAATCAAGCAATAAGTAAGGACCAAACAAACAAGGAGAATGAAGAGATCGTTTTACCTTTGGTTTGCGAAGGGGCTGTTAACTGCTCGAACTTGCTAGTAATATCTCTGAGAGATTGAGTGCGAACCATGTTATTGTCAGAAGGATCGCTTTCAGTTGAGCTCTCTTTGATCGGTTCTTTCTGCTAAAAGATTAATTTAACGATCAATGAAAGATCAGCTTTGTGAAACCTTCATTCTTTGCAAAGTACTGAAAGGCTTGGGACCTTCGCTTAACCGTTCTACATGCTTCATATTGACGGCCGGACACGATGAATCAGATTCATCTGAAGAGGGTGCAATATCAGGCTGCAAACTGAATGGGCGATGATGTTGTAAAGGGGCAACCTGAGTATAGAGCGCAATATCAAATTGAATCTCAAATTAACAACTGAACCTTCTGTGTTATAAGTTGGCGTACTCGAGCAGTCTCTGGTTGGTTGTTAGAACTACTAGTGGAAGAAGGGCTGGGAGTAGATTCTTCTCTTTCCACATGACGTAAAGTTCTGATGCGAGCTTTCAACTCAACCTCAGCGGAAGAACTATCACTTTCAGCAACAGTTCGTTTCTCGTCTTTTTTATTAACAGATTTCCTCGATTTCCATCCTGTTTCAGCGACATCTGTCTGAGAACCTCCGTCAACCTTGAGAAAAATAGAGTTGTTATTGATAGATCTTGCTAATTCGTTACTTTTCGAGGCTTTGGCTCCGGTTTCCGCAAAGCAGCATCAGATGAAGACGATATACGGTTGGAAGAGAAAGACTCGGAATCGACTTTCTCTGAGTTCTAAAGAAGCATCATGGTTTTTATAATTTCCTTTGAATACATACTGAACGTTTATCCAAGCGAGGAGTTCGAGGACTTGACGCTTCACTTGTACTTGGTCCTGAACTAGCTTGAGCTCCCACACTTGTTGTTGTTGAGTCAGAAGAGACAGGAGATTCCGATTTCGTTTTCTTGAGACGAGACTTCAATTCCCTCAATATCTGTCAAACAACATTTTGAAAAAAGTTTCGACAAATTATCGCTCACAATGTTTGAACCATCATCAGGTAGGGGTATGGCATCTAGAGAGTCATCAGAAACAGCATTACTTAGAGCAGCTATGTCTAATCCATCAGAATCCGGGAAACTTTGATCTAATAGAAACAGCTTATTAATCCGAGTCATCAAATAGTAGTATTACCTGGTGAGGCCTTTTTCATAGATTCCAGATAAGCATCTATTCTTGCCCCCTTGGGAACAGTTCCAAATCTATTGAAGGCTTTTCTCAGATTTTTTTCAGCTAGAGGAGAAACAACAACATCGTCTGAAACATCAAATTATTTTCATCTTATTGAATATCTTATACCACTATAGCTCTGTCTATCAGCTGTATGAGCGTTTGAATCGAGAACTGTTTTTAACAATTTTGGTTTAGCAGACGCAGGAGGTGTTGGGAGTGGTAAATTGCGGGGAGGTGGCCTAATTTCTGTACAAGAATCACGGAAAGAGGACATCTGTAAAAATGATATATTTAAGTATATACACCGGATCGTACGTTCGGGACGTTATGTTCTTGGCTGGTGTCCATGAAGCTTCTCAATGGCACCGGTGGATAACAGTCTGACGAAGCTGAAGCAAATGATCTTCTATCTCGTTCTTGATACCGAGGAGAAGGAATTCCTTCACTCCTTCTGGAACGTCTTTGAGAAGATGCACGTGATTTCTCTAATTGGCGATCAACTTCTTCATCTATGCTACTATGAGGGAACAATGATTCCAAACTCATGTGAATATCGCTGAATCGAGGACGATCACTTGGCGACCAATTCCAACTTAAGCATATAGTAATGAAAATAAGAGTATTTTTATAGTTTACCATTGAAGCATGAGCCTATACACACTGGAGGGACAACCAGGAGGAGCATCCATACGAAAACCCTTTTCCAAAAGAGAATATACATTAGAGAGATCAACACCGGGATATGGAGCCATTCCATATGTGGCTATTTCCCATAATAGCACACCAAACGCCCAAACCTGAATAGTATTTGTGAAATGTATTTGAAATTAACGAAACTTACATCACTTTTAGTACTGAAAGTGTTGAAAGCAAGTCCTTCCGGAGCAGTCCATTTGATGGGAAACTTAGCTCCGGCATGCGCTGTATAGGTATCTTCACGCATGAATCTTGCTAATCCAAAATCAGCTACTTTCACGATATTCTCATTCCCTACTAAACAATTTCTTGCAGCGAGATCTCTGAAAGAAATGAGTAATGGCATAATCATGGGTAGAGTATGGAAAGTACCTATGAATAAAATTACGCGACTCTAAATATGCCATGGCGGAAGCAATTTGAGTAGCCATGTACATCAGAACTGTTGGCGGAAGCTTAGATCGGTCGGTTTTTCTGAAAACAGCATATTGTAAGAACAGATGGAAGAACATCCTTACCTTAAATATTCAAGTAGGTTTCCATTGCACATGAATTCCGTTATAATATAGAAAGGCGCTTCTCGTGTACAGACTCCAAGGAGCTGAACAAGATTTCGATGATGAAGATCTTTCATAATAGCTGCTTCTGCTAGGAAGTCATGTAAGGCCATAGCTTCTTCCTTTAAATAAAAAGTTATGAAATACAGAAAAAAAACACGGATACCTTAAGTGTTTTGACAGCCACAGTTTTCTCGTGTCTTTTCCAAAAACCTTCATAGACATCTCCATATTGACCACCACCTTGAAAAAACAAATATAAACAAACTTTCCATTCTTTTCATTCAACATGATTCACAGAAAGCGCTGAATATCTTTCGTACATACTCTCAATGTTCACGTTATTACACAATAATGACACCTTGACTAACGAATTTCTTACGAGAATAAAGGATAGTTTATTACAATGAAGAACAGTTAAGAAAATATGCTGCAGGTAATGATAGTTTGTGAGTCAGACGCTTCGACCATAAAACTTAAACGAAAACAAACTAACCGAGTTTATTGTGCATGACGATTTCACTGCGATCAACTTCCCATTCGTCAGGTTGAGTTGGACTCAAAGAGAAAACACATGGAGGTTTATTCTTTTTTGGAGCTGGATACATCAGGGTACCTATCAAAAACGCTGATGAAGCAATACTTATAATTCCTAACTTACAAATAAGGCCATCTGCATGCACACTATGGTGATGCACAAGTTCACCTAAAGTTTTAAACTTTGCTTCTTGTGTAATGAAAAGCTGAAAAAATGTGATTGCTCAAAGAATATGAGGTCTTCATACTTTATCTTGGACATCTACATTGATCCTATAATGAAACACCCGTCCATCATGCCGTACCGAAATGGAGAATAGTCCTAAGCTTGTTTCTGACTCCCGTACAAGAAAAGACCCGTTAATGCCGCAACCAAGAATATATTCCGATTCACTTCTCGAAACTTTTCCATGGTACCTAATAAAGATGTATAACACTGAGAATGTAATTAGTTTCCTACCAACTATGCTTGTCGAGGGAATTTGATGGAGCTACATAACTAGTGGGAATCCAACCGATTTGGCCAATTCGCTTTTGACTTGCAGCATCCGGTCTTCGAGCGGAAACAAGACGCACTTCGCACCATTCACCTGCTTTGTTGTATCCCAGCACACGAACCTTGAGAAAAAACAGAATTTCACGAAAGACCAAAGCAATTTTTACCGTGTCGCCTTTGCGAATACTTAATTGCTCCTCTCCTACTCCATGGAAATCATAAAGAGCTACACATAGGGGTGATAGTTCTTCTCCATTGTTGCTTACCATGGAAGCAGCAATCAAGTCCTCCCTAGAAGCATTGCATACAGAATTTGATAGAAAATAAAATATGAGAATTTTGTTGTTCATTCGAACGCGGTTATTGAAAAGTACTCACAAAAGATATAATACTACGGAATCTGGCTGTACATAGCGCATACTAGAAGACATTAAGTCTTTGTTCATTTCTTTAGGAGGGATCATCTAGTAGGAAGAATCTTGAGGAGAATATTATGTCATTCTGACACAACGTGATTGGAAGGTAAGTATAAACAAGTGGAATCGCACGACAAGTAGCTCTGCACACCAGAAGTACAACTTAAGAAAACTCTTGCTGACGTCTGATGTTTTTATAGGATTCTTTCGCAGTTGGTTTCAGAAAAAACGACGAAGGGCTTTCGTGACCAAGGGTTGTTTAAGCTGACTTATTATACCAGTCTCTGCGGCAAGAACTGGGCAACAGCTGACAACAATTTTATGACCGCGGATCCATTTAAAACATAGCCACAGAGTTTTTAAAAATTACATTAGGAATTTTATAAGAGAAGTGTGAGAGAAAAATAGCCATGATAGAGATAACAAAAGGATAGTTAGAGAATTTCAAGGTGGGATGAATGATAGGGAAGATTTAGAGAGATGATCAACACAGCATGAGAGAAAATAACGTTGAAAAATGGCACTCGTTACTCAGCCGAATGAACGACAATGAAAAAAAGAAGCAATCGTATGAACGCATGTGGTTCATGGTAGAAAAAGGGAGATGTATTATTGGGAAGGTCAACGGACGAAAAAGGTGAACCGAACCGATTTCGGCAATGCTCTGTTCTCCAAAACTGTTCGAATTTGTTTTTTCAACAGATGGTTAATAGGATACAGAACGAAAATCACATTCTGATTCTTTTCGGCCCTTGGCACTCATAATCAAGTAGAGAATCAACAAGATCGAGTAAAGTTACAGAAAGTACATAGCAACTTGCAAACACATGAAGACGAAGGAGAGCAGATCTTTCATGATGAAATTCAATAAAGCCAACCAGCTCTGAGAAAGCGTTTTGAGTAGCGTAACCCAAACGCATTGAAAAAAAACTAGTCAGTTCATCAATGCTGAGATTCACCTATGACAGATGAACGTCGTAGTTTTTTTTATAAAAGGAAAAAAGAAGGAAACAGAATAGTTGAATACGGAACACGTGAGAGACAAATAGTTGAAAATGAAAAAGAGGAGCTACATCGACTAAGGGAGCAGAGCAGTTAGAACCCACAACCAACCGGTCGCTCATACGACAAACGGCTTAGCTGTGTTGGAAAAAACGGAGAAAGGCGAGGACGATATGTGCGCTTCAACAGTACGAATTAGCCGAAAAGAAGAGGGGAAATATTAAAATGAGAAAAGAGCGCCTTTTAATGCCCAGAAGAAGCAAAACTGTTATCTAGAGGCGTTGAGAAAATAAATCACAAACAGTTTCAAAAAAAAATACAAGCTTACCTACTACTCCAAGATGCGTTGGCCTTTCGGTGGAGCGCGCGGAACGTATCGACGGAGGATGGTCGACGCTCCATACTGTTCATACCAGTTTCAGCCCATTCACAAGATTCAGAGCATCCTGAAAGAAAACAGACATGAAATTAAGAAATAATTCGATAGGTAGTGGCAAAAGAGTAGCTAATAAGCATGGGAACTTTATTTGAGAAGTGGCAAAATGGAACAAGCTTCTCTAAAAGAGAAAGCGAAAAGTCGCAATTAAATAGTCATCTTGACATCTTCTATTCAAGAAGGTAATTAGAGAACACAAAAATCAAAGAAAACTTAGCGAAAGAGGTTAAATAATACGAGAATACGAAACGACAAAAAACTTTTTGTCATTTCCTTCGAAAATAATTAAAGTCTTGAATATCCCTGGCACAGTCCTATTAAACCTAACTATATATGCTTAATAGCTGCGGAGTTGTTAGAGAAGACAGAAGCAAAAAAGCCGGTGAGAGAACATAGTTCACTTGAGGATGAAATTCGAATGCTTTGGCAAAAAGAATGGCTAATCCTCTGCTATGCGCAAAGGGTGACAATCAGCATGAGTCAACACTGAACGCGAAGAAAACGCATGAGATGAATGCAATAGATGAAACTATTAGACTATCCTTATCGCGCACTGTATTATGTATCAACGCAACTCTTCTCACAATCACATATTACAAAACGGTTTAACAAGCTTGAATTGAGAAGAAAATACGACGAAAAAAAATACAAACACCTCGTGGGAACGTAATAGAGTAACGTTCTTAACGTGAAAAAAAAGCGAAACAGGTTGACAAATTCGTATGAGATTCAGCGAGGTGAACAAACAAAGGATGTCGGGAAGATCTCCTCACAACCATATCTAACTTAGAGCAGCCGATTGTTTCCTTAGAGAAACGAACATCAGAGCACTTCAGACTCGAAAGATAGAAACAAACGGATAGATTTGTAGAAAGGGAAGAGACAGCTCAAGGATAATAAACAAATGAGTTTCTATCGCTTTACCATTCGCTCATTCATCTACATCATCTGCTAGTCCATATAAGGACAAGCGACAGAAGCCAACTGCAACGGATTCATCAAAGTGTGTCCAGATATAGAAGAATTCTTGCAAAACGTATACACAAAATATAATCGGAAAAGTTCAAAATTCCTGGTCTTTTTGAGTATACATTTGAGACCATCATAAGGACAAAAAATCGATAACTGGTAAATGAACGAAGATGGAGCAAAGATAGTTGGAACAGTAAAGAGTAAATCAACAGTACAGAAAGAAGATATGAAATTTGAACAGCATAAAAATTCGTATGAGCGCTATAGACACTATGAGACAAAGAACGAGTGGGAGCAATGAGTCAGAATCAAAGAGAACTGATTAACTTGAATACAGTCTGAATTCAGTAGAAAGTGAGTACTTTGAAGTGATAGGACGTAAGAAAAATCGCCAATAGAGCAATCAATATGTTTTCGGTGAAATAATCAGAAGCGGTGGGAGTGTAGAAGAGAAGAGTGATTCCCAGCTAAATAAACATCAAAGGGGCAGTTCACGTAGCGAGGCGAAAGGGGTGGGTCATCGAGTAGCATACATAGGTTTAAGCTGCTGAACCTTTTCATAGACTAGTAAATTAGCAGTTCGGAGGCGATATGCAAACAAAAGATTACACATCCAACTAAGATTGCTCCAAAACATGGAATGAAGAAGAGAAATCGATAATACAGTTAGGAATGCTGAATGGGTCATATTGCGAAGGGGCTCAATGGGACAGCAAGGAATTGAATAGGCAAATGCTCTAAACAACATCTTTCAAGAAACACATGCTGTTGGCTTATTTGTGCTGCCAAGCAAATTAGGGATGCATGAAACACAGCGTAGGTCACAGGTTGAAAGGCTTATAATGTGATTTCTATAAATCAAACTAATGAAGTAGGACAAACTATCAGTGGCACTGTATTAATACTATACGTGTGAATCTGAGACGAACTATCGATCAGTATAACAGAAATAAGACTAAAACGATATATGTATCGTGACACCCGAGCGAAGAAGCATGGCGTAAATTAGGGAATGAATAGCTTTAACTGCAGCATCATTTGCACATTCAAAGATACTCGGACTAACGAGATCGAAATGAAGCGAATTGTTACGAGCGATTCTTAAAAGCCAACAACCGGAAATATAGACCAGGTGCATTCAGTGGCACATATGAAAGATAGGCTCACGAAAGCACTCTAATGATATTCCGAAATGAAACAAGCCTCATTTCATGGGAATAGCTTGAAATAGTAGCCCCCGAAAAAAAAGAAAACAATATAGGTGAAAGTGCGCTAAAAAAACTGAATAATCCATAGAAGAAGCTAGATCTGTCCTATCCGAGTGTTAGCTGTCATCTAGACCTGTCGACAGCCTGTCCACTCTGAGACGTAATGACGCTAAGATGTAAGACCTCAAAACAAAGAATTTGGAGAAAGAAAAAGAGAGAATTGGTTGCTTCCAGTTCATTTCAAGCTGCGATAAAACTGTCACTTCGGAGGAACACACACCACATGACAGAACAGCAACACAATAAACAGTCTATAACATGCGGAACGTGAAGAAGAGAAAAATCAAAATGGTAAAAGTTAGATTTTGGTCTGCAGAAATGAGGAAAACCTGAGTGAATGAGCGTTCTCATTTCTGGCTGTATGGACAATTAAACTGCAATAAGTCAGCCCTGTTCACAAAGAATAATACCATTGATTTTGAAAAGAAGAGATAGTATCTGTCGGAAAATTTTAGTAGAAGTAAAAGAAAGCTCAGTAAATGGGAAACGAAAGACTGATTTGAACACGAGAACGACAGCAATGAAATATTAAAAGGAAGGCCAATAACAAACAGACATATGTCACATGCAGGCCTCCTTTCCTTCAGCCTTCTCTTCACTTGGCAGATGAAGAGATGGGCGGAAATGGGTGGATAAGTGAGTATAACTATTGGTAAAAGGTCACAGGATAATAATCAATCGAAGTCGAGAACATATGTAACTTCATCATATTGTTCATATTAGATGCCCTGGGCAGAACAATTCGGCATAGAAGCATAAATGATGAGATTATCGCTTAGAAATGGTAGCTAGTCATAGCGCAGAGCGGCAGTAAAACAGCATTAGTAGTAAACATTAGAGGCCGAAGCACTCTCAGCATTTAAGGAGACAGATCTTCCTTAGGCAGATACAACCGCGTAATTCGTTGAGGGCAAGCAGCCTTCTTCTCGTTAGCTGGCAATGGTCAGAGAAATCGTGGAGCCGAGTATTTACTACTCCAGGCCAATACATGAACCGTTGTACTCGTCCATAAATCTAGTTAGACGACCAGAAGATAAGCAGCAAATCATATGCAAACGCGCACATAGAGGACATATTAGGTGAGGTTAGCGAACTAGATTCCACCGAGATATGTAAGTAAAATTTCAAAGCAAACTAACAACATGTATCAAACCAAACTTATTTTCCGAATCACAAAAAAAAGGAAGGTTAGGTAATGGAAGCAAAAGAGGGAGCTCGAGTTCACGAGATGGGACGATTTAAGGCAGCAGGAAACTAATTAGAAAATCGGCATTACAAGATTAAGAAGCTAAACGATGTTTCAATGATTTGCATTTTATTTTCCATAACAGTCGCTATTTCGCATGAAGAAAAAATAAAATTATATACTGCTTGAAGCAGAAGTGAATGGCGGAAATAGGAGTATTGCCCGACCTGCGTTCCAGTCAATAGGTCGAGTGCCAGCACCTTGCTATGCGGTAGCCAATACCCTTCCTTTGACTCTCTTCTTCGGTCAGTTGGTAAACGAGCAGCAAAACAGATATTGACTAGAAGACATATCAAGGCCTTCGTTCGTGCATACATACATTCAACAAAGAGATGACTTGTTAGAAACTCTATAGCGACCGCAATTTTGAGAAACTGCTAGAAAGATAGAGAGAGGAGGCATGTTAATCACGCATAGAAAGAACATTAAACAAGACAGAAAAATGTAAAAGAAAGCAACCGTATGAGAACTTTAAGACAATTAGATAAAGAAGAAAGCAACACTGTATGTGATTTAACAGACACATTTCGGGAGCGTACTGCATTGACAGATGCAAAAAGAACAAAAGCCGTGGAAAGGATATGAGTGATGACTAGCCGACATTTGATGAATTGACGGATGACTTTCGCTTATAAGTTAGCCATATTTCCGCAATAACATGCTGAGATAACTGGGTGAAGAGAATAATTGATTGATGAGCGCATAGGCCGTGAAGAGGGAAACTGCCTTCAGCAAGAGGATGATAAGGAATGGTTGAAGAGGCTTCAACAACGACAACCTAAGCCTGAACATCATTGTGAACATTCTAGTTGGAGTGTTCAGACAGTTAGTTGAGGACTAAGTCAACACAGTTTAGACATAGAATTGCTATTAAGATCAACTTATGAAAGGAAAAAGATAGGAAACTACTAACAGATGTAATCGCTATGATAGAAAAAGTTAAAAGAAAAAAACGGAAAAAGTTTTGAAGAGATGTATTTTTTTCGAGGAAAGAAATACCTGCGTTAAATAGTGATGGATCAGCTATACCACCTCGTGTAGATCCTGTCCAACTTCCATTTTCGCTTTTGTTGCTACTATGCTGAGCGCCCATGACGGAATCACCCTTTCTACGACATTAGCGTAAACCTGAAAACAAAAACTTCACTACTCCAAATATGCTAACTAACAGTTAGATTCATAAAAAAAAATCCATGATAGGAATGATCATTGAAGTTCCAAGAAAAACACGAACAGCTGTGGATGTAACAATATAAAACGTTCAAAACTAAACATGAAAGAGGAGCTTATCAGAAAGAGTACTCAACTGCTAAGACGGAAAGTTGTTTTCAGCGGTTAACTAAAATATTGACAAATTTCAAAGTGCTAAAACCAGCGCATTTATTGGAGAAAGTTGAATGGAAAAAAAGAAATCTTAATCATCATATAGATATTAGCTGAAACGACTGGGGGAACTACTAACGGGCTCAACAGAAAATGTCGAAAGCCAAAAATAATAGCAAATAACCAAGTGAGCCAAATAGCCAAAGCAGGACAAAAGACAACATTGATTCGGTGTCGAAGCCGTCCGAGAACGTAAACAGCTAAAACTCTCCGATCAGCTGAACTTCACGGTTTTCAGTAAATATATGATTAAACGAGAAGAACTTCGCAAAATAAAATCACAGAAGACCATAAAACCGTGATCAAGCAAACAAAAAGGAAGGTTATGGAAGAGGAAGCTGTTAGAAATGAAGTCAATCGTCAGTTGTTCAAGAAGAGACGAAATGATAATTTTCACTAAAAACGCTAGATTTTATACAGCTAACGAACGGATAAATGGATAACTACAGTAGAAGTAATGCGAGGATAGATGTTGAACAAAAAAGTAGAGCGCTAAAAGTGAAGTGAATGTCGATATAGTGTGAACACAAAGCAGCGACGCTGGATGGAAGGAAAATGGGCAATGAAATAGAAGTATGCTTGAGTGAACAATCCTTGAAATAAAATTAAGTGAGCATAACTCATTTAATCTTCAAAAAATCAAAGTTGGCTATAAACATTGCAACCCTTGCCTGCTTATGTTTACTTTTTACCTTCTCTTTCCGTTCGCGCCCATTACTGGAATGAGGTTGTCGGGGGTCTAAGGAACAAAGAAAGAAAAAGAAAATAAGCCGGATATCATAGAAAATCCAAAACTAATCTAATATCGCGCAAAGGGTTCCAAAGCGTATGCTGTACAAGGCAGAAGGAAACTGAACATCTGGCTAGAAGAGATCACATTATGTTGCCAACGAATTCTAGGCATTGTTTTCTAGGAGATATATTTAATGGGAAAAGGATGGTTCAGGAGAGAAGTGAAATATTCATAGTAACACATAAGAGGAAGAAACGATGGAGAAATATGAGGAAGGCCAACGAAATTGATGGGCATGATTCAGATAATTCAAAAAGCTAGGAGTATGATTAATAATTAAAAAGAAAAGCTGCTAAAACGAGGGTATACTCCGTGTTCGATCACGATATGTTAATGAATTATATTGGTGAGAAACAAATAGGGGAATGGTACAGACTGGTCAATGGAAGAGCGTCGCATCAATAAAAAAGCAACCAGATGGCCAAGCAGTTCATGGGTTAAAACATAGGAAGTGTCATAATTTCTCACCCGTTTCAAACATGGTACTTTGGTTACTAGTACGAAAGCTAAAACAATCTGCGGAAAGAGAAATGAGTAGAGGGATTGAAAAATGATCATGATTACACTAATCGATTCATATTAGAAAGGACGACCCATGAAAGAATGCAAAGGATAATACGGCTTGGCATCGACTAATGTGGCGCGTCGGGTCAGGTCATATCCTAGCTCTTATGTTAAGAAATAAATTATTTTGGAATTTTATGAAGAAAAAAAACTAAAATGCTCACACTGAGTGATCTGCTGGGAACGTCTTGCTTTGCGACCGTGCCGCGAATGTCTGTTTGAAACAAACCGACCGCTAGATACGCCGAACTCTTATAAATAAAAAAATACTTTAGGAATTAGAATATCACGTTGGAGAAAATTAATCAATAATGTAGAATAAGCTCAGTGAGAGGAGTAACAACGGTTATAACTTAAAAACAACGTAATAAGATTGAAAATCATTCGAGAAGAAAGAGAGGAAAGGGAAAATGACAGAAAAGAATGACCTGTTATTAAAGGAGAGACGCTTAATGTATCTACGTGACCCATCACTAACAAATGTCACATTTATACACAAACGAATTGGTACCTCTAGTTATGATGAGCGTTTAAGAGCTTTAACACTTCTTGAGTGTATGGAATTGAAAGAAATTGATAGGAAGGAAGTAAAGGAAGACGAAAGTTCAAGCATATGGCACTACAGCAATTGAGAAAAAAGATAAAATATACGACTGTTAGATAAAACAGATTTGATATAAACGTTGTAATCTTTTCATCTCTTTATGACAGAAAAAAATAACAATATTTACAACAACAAAAAGGCTTTACCCAAAGAAGAAGATCACAGTAAGAATGCTTAACTAGTTAGCTGTTTCAGGTTTTGAATACTCAATAAATTATCTCTAAATCAGCACTTTATAATGATCATCGATATGACTGTATAAGATGATAACTGTCTTACTATCAATATTACTATAAACTTCATTGCAGAACTTGTACACGCTCTCCAGATCTTGCTTAAATTTCCCGAACTGTTTACCCCAAGCTTCGAATAGTGACTTCATCTTGAAGAAATTAGTATATTTATTGCAGTAAAAACCACACATACCGTTGAGAGTTCCGTAGACTTCTTCAAAGCAGCAGAAATCAAGTTCACCATTTCACTTGATAATGAGTTTATACAAACTTCGATTCTACACGAGTTCGCGAACATTGATATCACTGTTGCAAGCTTATTCTTCACTTTGTTCTGTCATTGAAATTGAAATTGATCGATAATATTGGACGCAGTTACCTCAACTCTTCTCTTATCTTTGGTATGCATTTTTACAGAATCGGCAAAAGAAAAATTACAGTTGGCCAGCGAAGCTATTTTCGAATCCTTCGCAGTTAACGTTATGTTCCTTAACCGGGATAAGTTAAATCATATAACACCTCATGGGGAAGAAAAACCTCTCAGATCTCCCAATTTCAGAGTTCGGAATTGTAGAAGTTAACAAATTGACCGCTAACTGCAAGCCTTGTTTGCCATGGTCTTGAGATCCACGTATAACAAGAGCTTCATCGGGTCCAAACACTATCAAGGCATTTTGGATATGTTTTTCTCGAAGATAATTCTAAACAAATTTGCGTTGAACTATGAGAAAGAAAAAAGATTACGTAGAGAGAATCCATGCACTCAATAGGATGATGAAAAATATCAACAGGAATACCACATTCTCTGCACATCTTAGCCAGCTTGAACTTTTCACGTGAGAACTCAGAGTTGAACGAACAGATAACAGTCGTAAATTCTGAAAGAAAGCCTTGCTGTGATGTCCAAATGCATGAGATATACCATTGGGTTCATAACGTTTCACAGCCGCTAAGGTGTTCAAAGATATTGCGCAACCAATCAGACAGAGAGGGTGTGGAGGAGGTAGATCCTTGGATTGCCTGATTCTCTCAAGCATCGAATCATAACGACCTAGAGAAAAGAGCAACGAAATAATTAGAAAATGAATCATATCAAACCTCCAGCTACAGCCACAGAAGAAAAGTGCGTTTTTTTGCTATATTGTTCACAATATAAAATGAAAACAAGACCATCCTGGAAAATTGTTGGACGGTATGTTGTTGCCGCATCAAATATTATTGCAGGCTTTTCGGAGTCGAAAAGGGGAACTGGAAGTGATTTGGTGTGAAAGAGGGGAAAAGAAGGACAAACTTGAATGCAAACTTTCAAAAAGATTTTCTAAATCATTGACAGCTTCCATAGCACTGGTTCGGACGTCAGCATTTTTTGAGTTGAGCAGACTTTTGCAGCCTTCCTAAAAAGCTTGAATGAACCATCAGAAATTTTATATCAATTACCTTGAAAGCTAGAAACGAATTCTCCATGGGCAAATGGGACATGAACGAAGTAGCAACTTTGGGTCCAAGAATAGCGCTCACCACATCAATCCTTGTCTGATTAGTAATAGGTTCTAAGGGATTATAGACTTCATTCTTATAAAATTATTCCATACTCTGGGAAGTATACAGTTTATGAAGCGCCAACAAAATGTCCGCTTTTTTATCTTCTTTCACTGTAAGATGATTCAGAGCTGCCTTGATCAGACGACAATCGCCAACCCTTAAAACAACAGGTGGTTAGAAAACAACTCTCCAACTACCTCATTGAAGAATTATTAATATCCTTCAGAAATTCGTTACAGATGTCATTTATACAACACATAATCTCTACGGAAAGAGTTGAGGAAGCGCACTCGTGGCCAATGCAGTCGACACTACAATCCCAACGTTCACTTGGATGACAATCTATGAATAAACGATTAGCTAAGAATATAAAAGGAAAAACCTATAATTTCTTGTTTTGTGAAAACTCGATCGAAAGTAAACCGTTTAAACCTCTTGATCGAATTCCTGGCGCAGTATCTTACAAAGTTATATTTCAAGTCAACCTAGAAGTTATGACGAATTCTGGGCAAAAATATGACACTAACCGGAAGATTGACGGTGAACCCCGTCTGGTCAATAAGTTTTACAAGTTTCGGTCTGAGCTCCGATTTGTCAGAAATAGAACTGTCAGGGCTAAGTAGATGGTTGTTGAATGGTTGGAAACATCTCAGAGATAGTATTTCAGCCAATTCGTTTTTTACCAAATGCATATTCACATCCAAATTTTTCGAAGCCTTCTCCTACAATGATATACGACTGGTTACTCAAAATTTAAACAACAGTACGTTGCACAACTCATTATCATAGTAATAGTTTTTGGCTGGTAAATCATGGTAATCAAATAAGGTATCCATCAACCAATTATGCATCCTTCCATTTCTTTTTTTCATTATATTTTTAAAGGTGTGCTGGAAATAACAACGAAAGATTTTTCAGAAAAAGCGCAGGAAAGTACTTGGAAATTGTCATCGTTAATTTCGACGATAGGCCTTTCATCATTCGATATGAGTTCTTGAATAGTTGGTCGAGCTTCCGCTTCCAACTGTAGCATAGATTCTATGAATTTACGAGCCAGGTTGGCCTATAAAACTCGTGTCAAAACATATAGAACTTTTGATGGGAAGACCTGAGGAGCTGGATACCCAACGCTAAAATCTGCTGGAACTTTACCACTTTTTTTCAAATTCCCTATTGTAACTAATCGGTCCTGCCCAGGCGGTAAAGGACGGTAGAACATTTCGAACAATACAACTCCACAACTGAGTAACAACTGTGAAACAAAGAGAATAAAGAAAAGAGATACCTGTACACATCAATTTTGGAGTCGTACTGTTTGGAAGAGCCTACGACAAAAAGTTCCGGAGCCATATAAAGTTCTGTTCCAATATCTCTTGTTTGAGTAGCTAGATGAGGATAGTTCTCAGCAGAAATCTCACGGCCATCGCTATCTTTCTGTAGTAAGTGAGTAGCAAGTCCAAAATCTCCAATTTTTCCTTGTCCAGCAGCGTCGATAAGAACATTAGACTAAAAAACATTTGTTGATGAAAATATCACATAACTACCAAACTGGTGTGATATCTCGATGAATCATTTGCTTGTCATGAATATACTGTATTCCTTTCAGCATATCGCTGAACAATTTCCAAACTTTTCGAGGAAATGTATGAAGCTCTTTTCTATCAATTACTCCGCGAAGTGTTGATTTCTCGCAATATTCCATTTGAATATATAGCAGTTGAATGGCATGTACCTTTAAAGTTATTAACATAGATAAAGATAAATGGCGAAAAAACCTCCACGGAATCTGACTCCGATTGAGAACTTTCTTCTGGCTTGCCACAGGAATAACTTTTACTTTTTTGTGAGTTTTCAAATAAAATCTAAACAAGGATATAATTAATCACAGTTGACACCAACTCACAAACGAATCTTCCGCACTCTCGGACAACGCATTTCTCCGATTGTTCATATGATCATCAACACTTTCGTCATCCTCGCTACTCGAGTCAACATGATCCTCATTAGCTGAACTTATTTTATAACATTGTTCAAAATATCAGAACAAACTATGTCTGAAAGAAGTAGACCACTCAACAGTGTCTGCATGCAGAGATAAACAGCGATTTTCGATGTTTTGAAGTTTGCTTGGTAGGATTGAATCTGGAATAATAACAAATTGAGTTGACACAGAACAAAGCTCACCCTCCGAGTCTATGAAATTCGTCTGAGCTGACGACGCTGAAGAGCTTGGTGAAACAGTATTTACTTCTTCGATCCATGAACTGTGAAACATAACATGATGATTTATCTAATTGACCTTACTTGTAATATCTCACAACGTTGGGATGGTTAAGCTGTGAGAAAAGCTCTGCTTCTTTTGCAATTTTTTTGTTAAGCTTTTTGTTCTTCGGATAAAGAGGTATGATTTTAATTGCATAGTTGCTACTATCAAGTTTGTTTCTAAATCAGTGATAAATATAACTCTATAAGAAAACCATACTTTGCCAGCATAACCTGCCCGAAGCCTCCTTTACCCAACATTCGTAGACTTATAAAATCTTTCACCATTCTACTTTTCTTCACATCTGACGCTGTCAAGTTGATTTGAGGAAAAGAACCAGTATTTGTAACCATATCTTTAAAAGACACATATACATATAATAACACTGTAATAACATACTCAGCATCAGAAACTGGTGCTCTAATAATTCATCCATAGATTTAGCCGTTTGGCACGAGTTAATGAAATCATCCAAATATTCTTTGTAAGGACATAATGAGAGTTGAGAGGACTGAACTTCAATGTGATAACAAATAAAGATAAGTCATACTCACATATTTTGTCCGCAAGCTATCAATGAGACTTGCAAGAGAACACAAATCTTTTTTACGAAGAGCAGAGTCGCCATTGACAAAAGAATTCCATGAAGTACATTCGGAACATAGTTGTGAGAAACTGTTAGTAGCCCAGCACATTAATGACCTAAACCTTAGTTCTTCCTTGTTATTCGTGAACAAAACGTACAGAAGCACGGCATCTGAGAAAACGAAAAAATCGTTTGAATACCACACTGAGCTTGAAGAAAGTGATCCATGTGATATCTGCCTGTTATGCAGAAAACGTAGAGCCAAGACAGCGTGAGCAGACAGTTCTTTTATAGTGAGAGACTTAAAGAAATACAAACCAGAATACAAAACAAAAAAGTACCGGGTTTTTCTTGAACTGATAATTTGATAAAACCACATCGTTGAGACCAATTTTCTGGCCAATATAAACTTTGAAATGAATGCTATTCTTCTCGACTGCTCTCTTCTCCAATTCAGCAAAAACAATAGGAACTATTGATTGTTCATTTCCCAAAACTATACGATAGCTTCGTAGATGATCTTCGATTTCAGTAATCAGTCTTAATATGGTATCAAGGAACAAAATGGGAGATTACGTTACTTGTTACATTCATCTACATCCAGTTGCTTACATACAGAGTGAGGAGTTTTTTTCCTAGTATGATGAAAAGTCCATTCGGAGACCAGTATATCAGTGCCTTGGAAAACACCTCGCCATTCTTCGCAATTGTTGTGTAATGAGGGCCGTACTTCCTTGTTAGTTTTAACATATACACTATGGAGCCCAATCAACCGAACTTCCAAATTCTTAAAAATGAATATAAAACTGTCTAACCAGCAAACGAATTAACCGAGCAGTCCACTCCTACATCTTTACTCCAATCTAGTTCAGACATTTTCAACTCACGTTCCTCTGCGATAGTTTCAAACTCTCGTTTTTCACTGTTAGCTCTACAGCGCTACAAAACAAAAAGATGTAGAATGATTTCAACTCAGATCTTACATTTTCATTAGAAGCCTCTAGAGCTTTCTGTTTGACCATGTTCTCATGACAATAAGCAACAGGAACATTTTTTTCATACAAAAATACACGGACCAAATCACAAAGTTCTAAAATCATACACTGAAAAAAAAACTGATGCAAAGCTACTCTGAGAATTCCCCACCTGTCCTATTAGCTCTTGCATTTTCTCCGTCAATTTTTTTTTCAACTCAATCACGTCGCTATCAATAATCCCCCGAGTATCTTCTAAGCATATAGTTGGTAATCTACAAATTAATAATGAATATGAAATTTTGTTGTTGAAACCTCACTGATCAGGATAACGTTCTCCACAGGAGACAGTTAATGTTAATGAAACTTGATCATTACTTTTTGACCGGCTGTCAGATTGGGTTGGTAATAAATGAATTTTTACTGCAATAGGCTTCCAGACCTAGAATTTACTTAGTTGACTCAATATTCATGAAAATCTTGGTAACCTACATTCCAAGCATTTTTTTCAAAGACAGCCTCCTCGAAAATAGATTGAATTGCTATCTTTTCATCCTCTTGTAACTCCTTGTACTTTGAACCCATTCTTATCTCAATTATCTAAACACAGTTTCTGACTCATTTGTAATATTCTGAAAGCATTTTGACATGTTATGAAAGAGTTGGAACTTTTTAATGAGGAATGAACGTCAAAAAAGAAGTGCAAAGGTGTGTTAACAAATATATGAACAGTGGTATATTCAATGGGTAAATATTGCTCAAGTATTAAACCACAAATAACAAAGATACCTACTTATCATTAACTTTCGTATTTGAATTGGAAATGCCATTTGAAAACAGAACTCTTATATTAGCGAAAAAATGTTCTGAAAGAACTTGAAATAAATTTGCAACTTTTGCATACGAAGAAGCTTTACACAACCGCGCGAGCATCGTCAAATTAGTCATAATGAAAACACTACCGAGTTTATTCCGCAAAGGTGAAAAAATGATAATGCACGTCAGGTTCACGCCACGTGTATTTATTCCTGAGCTATTTCATTTGGGTTTCCTATAGTGTTTCCGTTGTCTAAAACATAAAATTTTATTATATGATAGAAATTCATGTTCATACGGAAGTGTTCTGAATAGTATAGTGGTTTTTTTCCTATTCAATTCAACTAATTAGCTCAGTTTTTAAGCTTTGAACAATTTTTTCACTGGCAAGTGTCATAGTTTATAGGCGTCAAAACAAAAATATGTACGTACGCGTCAACCCTCGAACTCGAAAAATATGGTTTCCCTCTACAAGAAGCTAGCGCTCTTGTTCAATTCAACTTTTATTTTCATATTTTCGGAAATTGCGTAAAGGTTCATAGATGTGAAAAGTAGTTTAGTTGTTGTATCATATTGAACTCTCGAAATACTTCCTGGAACTTTTTTTCAGGACTATGAATTTCCAACAGAAGCCGGGTGTGGTAACACAAGCGGATAGATCTGCTAGATCTGTTTTTGGTACTAATATTATTTGATATTGGATGTTTTTTGTTTTTCAGTTGGAAATATTTCATATGATATACAGGAAGAAACTATCAAGCAGATTTTTTCGAAGGTATACCTTCTACATGGAGATTATCTTCTATGCTTTAGTATTTTGCTTAGGTGGGCCCTGTACTTTCTATCAAAATGGTTTTTGATAGAGAAACTGGAAAGCCGAAAGGCTATGGTTTCATTGAATTCCCTGACGTCCAGACTGCAGAGTTAGCGATTAGAAATCTCAACGGGTGCGTGTGATGCTTTGAAGTTCCAATCTTAACATTTTTTATTTATCAGATATGATTTGAGTGGGAGAACTTTAAGAGTTGATAGTGCAGCTGGAGGAGATCGTAGTGCTGATGAAATAGCTCAGCTACAGGTTTTTCAAAGCATCATTTTAATGTAAACGCTATTGAATAGGCAGCATTAGGAGCTCAACAAGTTGAAGAAAGTCCTTATGGCCCTGAGCCGGAAGAAGGGAAAGCTCCCGAAGTTAGATTGTTTCATATTGTTAAATTATACTCCTCATTTAGGCTATATCGCGAACTGTAGCATCGCTTCCACCTGAGAAAATGTTTGAGCTTATGAAGCAAATGAAAGATGTAAACATTACTTAATTATGTTTTGATAATGTTCGTTCAGATTATGCGTTCGAGCCCCAATGAGGCGAAAAAAATGTTAATCGATAACCCGCAGTTAGCTTATGCTCTTCTACAGGTATATGACATACTGACTGATTGTCGCTATCCAATTTTTAGGCCCAAGTTGTGATGCGAATCGTAGATCCCCAAGTTGCCATTGCAATGCTTCATAGAGAAACTCCTGCTCAAGTACAACCTTTCCATCAAGGATTTTCGTTGCCACAACAAGGTTGAAACAAATAATTATACTTGAGCATGCTCTTTTTATAGGAGCCATGAGTTCTTCTCAATATCCTTCCGCTGTTTCCCACTCCATTCCTCAAAATTATAGTCGTCATCCTGCTCCACCCGTTCAGAATATGGTTCGTGGGCTATTCGACGCTTATAATTACTTATTTTTTAGAGTGGAATGTCGGCGGAAGAAGAACAAAATGCGAAATTGTTAATGCAAGTATGGGAGTTAGCGTTTAGTCCTGTCGTAAATGTATGATGTTTAGGTTATGCAATTGTCAGAGGAAGAAGTAGCTCTCTTACCTCCACAAGATCGTGAAAAAATTGTGGAACTTAGGAATCAACTCCGGGGAGCGGGTGAGTTACTTGCTGAATGAAGATAAAGAATTAAACATCTTTCAGTGGGACCATAAATATTAGTCTTCTATTGAGGTTAAGCTTCTCATGTTTTCATCTTTAACGACTTATAATGAAGGAAGGTCTCTGATTTCATCTCACTCTCTTGTCTCTTCTCTTATGTTTCTTGTATTAGCCACATTAGAGTGGAGATGTTTATTAACGGCTAAGCTGTTCATCGACATTCGGCGTTTAGTGTTCTGTTTATGAACTTGTAAAATAAAAAATCATTCCGAAAAGAGCATTTGCTTAACATTTATTCATGATCAATGTACAGATGTTCTATTTGATCTATTAGAGATTGGAAATCGAGATATGATCAAATTGGTACCGATATCTTACTTGCCCACATCTCCGAGTCGATCCAAGGTCCCGAAGTTCTTCAGTATGTGGTTGACGACTTCGGCATTATTTCGCTTTTGAAGGCCCTGCAAAACAGTTCATGTAGTGTTTGTTTGTGAGTTCATTTTCAGAAAATCATACGGAGTAAAACTAAATTAGTAACCTGCCGGGATTGAAGAAATCTGTATATTCCACTCGTGGGATACTGATATACCCGATCGTCATTAAGGCCGTAGCCAGCGGATCCCAACTGAAAGAAAGATGATAAACTCAATTAACTCAGAAGAAGCAGCGATAAATAATGCTCCGAAGACGGAGCTGAAAAGAAAATGCATTCGGTTGTACCTTGAGGAAGTTTCGGTTTTCCGTTGATAGTGCATAGGAGACAGCCAGGAAGGCTAGAAGGACAGCGACAACAAGAGATAACTTGGAGGAAACCATCGTCTAAACTTCTGTATATTGTCGAAGGTGTGGTGAAATAGCGAAAAGTGAATGATATTTCGATAGAACTGAAAACACGGGGGAGTAGTCATGAAAGTACGAAACACATAGGTGAAGCTCAAAACAAGCTCTTCAATGCTTGTTAGGTGAGATGTGTGTGAACAAGGCAAGTTATTGTTCCCCACTAATATTACTTATGAGCAAAACGGAATTCACGGAAATTATGAAAGACGCCTTTCTTTTATTGGAAAGCAGTGTAAGACTTTCCAGTAAACTGAGAGCTTTCGTCTTTCTGACTTTCGGATGTCAAGCAGAATAGGCGGAGTTTGTGAGCCAAGTGAGGGGGCTGTCTCAAGCTCGAACATTATTAAAACCGTCTGATTAACATAGTTAGCAAATCTCCAGTGATTGAACTAATTTTTTGAAGGATACCCCATTATTGCTGTCGACCCTTCTACGTCACTAATACTCTCACAACGTTCGGCTTGCATTCTCTTTGAACTTTACACGAACTTCTTTTAGACGAAGTTTTTATAAAACACGCGAAGGATTTCAAAACAAAGAACTAGGTATACATAGGTTTTAGCTCGTAATTCATTCAGGGCTCGGGATTTTCTTCGGCTTTTCTTTTCCAATTGAGTTTTATTTTGTTTGTTCGGGCGTGATCAGACAGAATCAGAAAACTTTAATGAGAAATAATGTGGAAATAAACTAAAAGACTGACTTAACGTGCTAGAACAAACTAAGCCAGATTCTAAATATTGAATGTTTTGAAAATTATTTTGACCTTTATAAGGAAAGCAAGGCGGAAACTACAAACCGAGAAAGACGGTAAGGAAATTAAAAAAAACATTGTTGTTTATGGAGAGCTTCTAAGATCTAACTTATTGCCAATTCATCTATGATTGATTGTTTGTGGAAATTAAACGTCATGTCATTTAGTTTATAATTTTTACTAGTCTACATGTATATAGATTAAATGTGCACATATACATTTATAGATACATGTTGATAAGGTGATTCTTTCATTAATGAGAGGAAGTAATATACTGCTGTGGGGTCTGATATGATGAAGTGAAGAGAAGAATTAATATGAAATGAAAAAACAATGTTTATGCTATTTTTGAGAATTCCCATGATGATTATTCTAGAAGAGGTGACGGCGCTGCTAAACCCAGATAAAAGAATTATTTTTACAGTGAAATTTGAATAAACATTAATAAACAAACATTCATTTTGAAATTTTTTTTTGCATGGTTTGTCTCGAGTAAAAGAAAATACACCTAATTTGCAGAAAAAGAAAACAATTAACACAACAACCAGGTGTAAGAAACATTATCTGGTTGTGTGATAATATTAGATGACCATCTTAATTCGTGTCTTCCTCCCCATCGCATTCCGTGTTTGATCATGAAACTTGTGTTTCTACTAAATTGAAATTTGTTCTCTTCATTCTAACTAATTTGCATATTCGAGGTAACGCACAGATGTCTTAGAGAATTAGCATAATGAGTGATTCGCGTGGAAACTCAATTAGCAAATATCGTTAGATGAAGTGCGATTTACAGTCATTTTTATTCTTTTTCAGATACTGAACGGTTGTTTACACTATCACATTCTATATTCTTCAGTTCACATACGTTCTGAAAAACAAACTATCAGTTACTACAAAAGAGGTGAGTTTGACTTCAGTCTTGATGGAGTGTTACATACTAACGTTTTGGGCAAACTATGTGTCAAACTCGACCATAGAAAACCGAAAGTTCAAGTTAATTTCTATATTCAGCTCCTGTTTGCGATTAAGGGATAGCAACACTAACCTCCGTGTACAAGTAGAATAGAGTTTTGCTTAAATAAAAAGCTTTTTATTCTGAACATCATTATCGAATTCAGAGAAACAAAAGTCTGTAATATTCGTACATATAACTTGAAAAGTGGAATCTTCTGTCGATTTAATTCTTTTTTGCCTTGCGGAAGCTTAAACTCCATCTGTAGACGAGCGACAGAAAAGTCCAAGTGAAGAAAAGGCAAATTCCAACCCAATGTCCACCAGACCAATCACGAGTGTATGCTATTTGAGACCAAATTTGAGCGGATAAAATGGTCAAGCAACACTGCAAAGAGTAGATAGTCCGTATTTCATGTAAAATAGTAATTTATCAAGAGCTATTTGAAGATGCTAGTTGAATACAAATGAATCGAACTTACGACAACTCTGGAATCAACTGCAACCAAACGATCACTCTGGTTTTCCCAATGAAGTGCATGAGTTGACACGGAGTATGAGGAAACAAAAAGAGCTCCCATTAATCTAGCACAAAGAGAGTGAGAATCATCCAGTGGTACGATTACCTAAAAAAAAGTTATTAATTTTGACTTCAGAGCTATTAAAGAGGGAACATATTTAATGAGAAAAATAAATTTTCAATTTGTAAGTTCTCACTTGACGATGAAGTAACCAATTAGGGAAACTCAGCCAAGCAATGCCTATGCAAATAGAGGCAATTGCATCCAGTTGATAAAGGCAATCTCCAATTTTGTTTCCAGGAAGAATGGCTTTTCCTAAAACTAGTCGTCTTACGTTCATTTTCCTCATAACTAACCGATGGGCCAACCACTAACAAGCAGAAGGAGGATATGAAATGCTAATCCAGCGAAACAAAAATATTTTGCAAACTCCAAATGCTGAAAATTAGATTATAGAACGATACGCAAACTGTGCTTTGAAGCTACCTGAACGTCTAACAACTCGGGAGTCATAGATCTACTTTGAAAGACAAGGAAGAGAACAATAATAGCTGGCTAAAACAGTAGAGTTATCACAAGAATTTATCCTTCAGTTTACTCACGACGATGCGGAGCAGATGGCATACAGTATGGGTTACTTTCCCAGAACTTTTCATTTTCCATGAAAGAAAAGCTCCGGCCAGGATTTGTCCTCCTACACATCTCACCAAATGCCAATGTACACCGTCAGTTTCCTTTCTCTAAACGGAAAGATTTGAACATGAAATTTAATCAAATTTGCTGAAATTTAGTTCTGACTTATACAACGGAAGAGAAAGGATTCTCTTTCATGTCATTGTTAAGTATTGGGAGGAAGTAATTCCAAACGAATAAAGGAAGTCAATGCCAATAGAAAGGTTGAAATTACAAAAAGAAAACTCACGAATACATAATCTGCGACTATATGAGGTTGAAAAAATAAAAAACAACCGATGGACGCAGATATAATTGCGTCCAAACCCAAGACGGCGCGAGTTAGCATGGTCTGTAAGAATTTCTAATACAGTTCAACAATAAAAAAATTTAACTTTCGATACAAATAAGGAAAACTGTTAAAGAACAAGTATATAGAATGAGTTCATGCCTGGTTTGACTATGTCCTGATACAATAGCTATTGTGATGAAGTTGGTACGAACTAGTTGGAAGTGAAATCTTCGAAAGACAAAAGACATGTAAAATACAAGATTTCAGATAAATGTGAAAGCATTTTACATTTTTCCTGATATTACAGTCGCCTACGCCTATGAACAAAAACATACAAACAGCAACATCAAACAATTCAAACAACTTTATGTCGGCAATCATCTCAGAAACCAACTATTTGGTTCAGAAACAATTTGTCCCGAGGAATGACTGCTTCGTAGTCAGCAGCTACGGGACGAACACATTGATCGACCTGCCTTATTCGGCCTCGTCTGTACTTTCAGGTGACCTTGTCCCAGTCTTCCATCTAACCTACTCTTTTTTCGTCAATGCCATAATTGCTGAGCCCCAATCCTGTATCAGTTTGGATGATCAGTCCCTTTACGACTATTAACACAATCACAAGTAAAACATCTTATTTCATTGAAAAGAAAAACTAAGTACAATGCCAAAATTCTAGTAGGAAACTTCTATATTCACATTATTACGAAATGACGGCAAAGTGATTGGCTTTGATAAAGCCAAGAAAGGCAGATGAGGAGAGGCAATAAATGAATTAACATTCGGACCCAAGGAATACGATTATGTTTTTTAATAATAATAAATCACAAATGAATTCAGTTCATATTACCACATAATAAGTACTGCGAACAATGGCAGCTAGAAGGCCTTTTGGAATGAGAGCCGATCCTGAAAGATTTCTTAACACAGTCCTTGGAACTAATTAAACCCAGGCACCTCTAAACACATAGCGACTAGTCATAGTCCATCAGCTTCAGTAAACCCGCATAGATGAGAAAAAATACTAATGACAATGTTACGAATGGAAAGCCTAAGTGAGGTGGAACGAGTATATAAACTTCAATGCAACCGAGAATCGTTCACGGAAGATTTCATAACTGGAGTAGGCAGGTATCTTAAACATGAAGCTAATTGTACAATATATATTAAACTGATTACCTTAAGGTAGTTATAGCATGTCATTGCTGACGGTAATTCATCATCTCCCGATCCGTAAGTTGCAGTTTTACGAACAACCGTCAGCGGGGGATTCAAAGCGCGGAACCCTCCGATAGGAAGCCTGAATTCATCAATTTATTAGAGTAAGTACATAAACATTTTACCGTGGACTTCCTGTAACAAACTGGACAAAACGACGCTGATCAGAGTGATCAAACGAAGCCAGCATAGTTACAAGCCATCGAATTTGCTCCGAATCATGAGTATAACTGCAAAAATCTAGAATTAAAACATAAAGAAAACTTCAAATCACCCGTGATCTGGCTTGATAGACTGAGCGATTATCAGCTCGTTCCAAACTTTCTCTGAACTATCTGAGCAACCACAGAAAAGCTGATCTAACTCTTCAGGCATGAAAAGATTCAAATGTGATGGATCAATAACCTACGAAGGACAATTTGAAAAATAAAACTTGAAATAATAACTAACTTGTGAAAACCCTCGTTTAACGGCTTCCATTTCTCTCCAAACACCTTCTGCTAATCGCCACCAACTGACAAGCTATAAATCCTATATGAATAATTCATACAAGAAAAAATTTCACCTTTACAAATTTATGTACATTATCATTAGAAACAGCAGCATTCCTTCCATTCTTCATTAATTCAAAAGATTCATTACCAGGCATAGTAAAATACTAGAAGATATTATGATTAGGAACTATATATTCATCCAAGTACCTGTTCTAAATGTTCAAAATCTTCATTTTTACAGAGCGTCAGCTGGCGTAAAGAGTTGTACATATTTGGATCTAGTATTTCCATCTGCAAGTGATAAGTACAATAAGAAACTTTTCGAACTGTAACGGATTACCTCCTGCAAACCCATTTGAATGGGGTCTTCAACTAGCCAGTTCAAAAAGACAGGAGACAAAGGCAGGTCTAACATACGACAATCAACTAGAGCTTGGCCCATAAGCCGTCCGAGAGTCTGAACAGAAAGCGATTAATTACTTTTCAAAACATCCATTTCATACTTCGAACTTCTTAATTCTACCACTCTCTCTTCGGTGAGAGTGAGAGCAAGCTGAGGGATAAAGACCATGACCAGACACAGAGTATTCAACTTTTTCTCCACCTTCCATCTCTTCAATTTGAGTTGCTCCATGCCATAACTTGTGCACAGAGTTTTGTATTTCTTTTGAAACGATGGAATAAAACTCTAATGTCGGTCCGAAACCAGAACCAGCTTCATTCTCAAAACTAACTTCCAGCATTGCTCTACAATAATGCATTGTACTAAGCTTATATTGGATATGTTACCTTGCGCTGGCATTATTAGCAAGTGCGGTCTCCGCTGATTTTAGAATATCATCTCTTTTCACTGTTATTTTTCTACGCTCAAGCCTTGGAGTAGATCTACCAGCTTCGCCTTCACCTGAAAATGAATTAGCAATTGGATCTGAAGAATATACCAAACCTTGGGCACCTTCAGTTTGCGATACAAGATGCATTAGTGCACGTTCTCTTCCAAACGCCGTGCAATACAAGAGAGATCTTCTGAGAGAGAAAGGAAACAGGAAGGGTCTGCAAGAAGATTACCTTTCTAGATATCAAGAATATTAAACATACACAACTTTAACGAGATCAGTAGTCCAGCACGGAAGCTGTTGGGTGGCAACAGATATGAAATCTGACAATTGTCTTTGAAGCTTAGCAGATAATTTCGCAGAATGAAAAGCTGATGAGCTTAACAACTGTGAAAATGACGTAGGCAAAACAATTTCCTCTTCGAAAAGATTACTCCAATGCCTGAACATGAAAAAGTTTGGAAAGTAATTAATAATGCACTAACCTATTTAACCCGTACAAAGACCTTAATAAGAGCAGAGAAGTTACACAAGGATCATCAATTGCACGTGGAAGATTTTTCTCCATATAATTCCACAGAGGAGGTTCACCAGACTCAACATCACCATCTGTGAACACTAATGCTGATAAAAACAAATAATAAATGCAAAATACCATTCCATAATTTGTCACTAATTTTATGCTTTTTATCTTTCTTATCAGAATTGTTGGAAGTAGATGTTGTATTTGTAACTACTGTCCCATTATTCTCTGCCAATCTATATAAGAGCACATGTGTGGAAATCCATAAACTGTTTCCGATTGAACTACTGAAAACGAAGTAAAATACGCAAAACTGTTATTATCGAAAACCTCTCTTCTCCATTATTAATGGCATACTGTCGTAAAGCTTGAAGAATGCTCATATGACTTGGCAACGGAAAGTCCCCCAACATGATTTCAATTTTCCTGTCATCGTTTGCGGAGTGGGCAGCAAGTACGGGGTCCTGACAATAGAAAAATCAATAAAACTAGAGAAACTGAAATAAATACTTCATCATCACTGATATCATCCCCACTAGATTCTTCACATGCTCGTACCCTTCCAATACCCTTATCGATCAAGTATCTTTCAATAGCGGAAATAGAAGTGAATGGATCAACCTATAATGATCGTATTGTATAATTAGTGAGTGACCGATTGACCTTTATGGTACTTCCACCATGTCGATGGTAATCCCTTAGCTCTCTACAACTAGGATGGCGTCGCAAGCAACACTGAAATCAAGCATTCGAAAAAAAATTTGAGAAAATGAAATACTTTTATCTGATGACTTTGGAAAAATCGTAATGCTTGAGCTCCTCTCAAGCATCCACTTGTACCTGTTGCTATTCCACCCATATCATTAACCTTCAAACCAGATATCAACATCTTGTTTTTGCGAAAAATTCTACCTTTACTTGGAACTGTTCCATTTGACCCACAGAAGCTAATGTTTTAGAAATTAACGATTCGAAAACCGCAAAAGTGCCTCCTTCTCCAGCTGGTCGTAAATTGTCAGCCTAGACTAGTTTATAGTGCAATATGAAGGGAGAGATTGACGTACGGTTAAATGCATGAAAACAGCAGCAAAACGTTTCAGTCTCAACTTCCTTGGTGGGAGTATGTCACTATCTTCCGAAACCAAATAATTGTGTAGAGCAGAGATTACCCCAGAATGATTCATTTCAAAGGCACTCACAGGATCCTGAACAGTAATTCAGCAACTATTCATTATGAAATGAATTACCTTTTCGAGGAGTGAATACAATTGATTAATGGGAGATGTTCCTACATCTTCATTACGTTTCTCCAATTGCTCAGCGACCCAGGATAAACAATCAATTACCTGACCACTGGTTCCAATTTCTGACAAATATGTTTTCAAAAGACGTTCAGCTGAATGTGGAAAATAATTACGAAATTTTTTATTCGTGGATACCCTCTTTCTTTATCCACGCCCTCAGCCTCTCTTTAATTACAAATCCCATGGGATTAGACGCAGCCGAAGTTGCTGGGGCTGTTGAGGTAACTGGCATATTACCGGAATGTGACGCATTTTTTCGACTATTTGTGGTGGTGCTGCTCGTGACAGGGGTTGCAACTTGAGCTGCAGCACTCGATGACTGCGATGTAGCTGAAAAGGAAAATCTTCGAAACATTTATCTTTCTTGTATGATACCTGAAGGTGTAGCTTGATAGTTAGCAGGATTGGGAGAAGCGTTGGATGATGATGGACTATTCGACGCAGATGACTGTCGAAGCCCACCGATTCCCGGAATTCTCAATGCATTAAAAATACCAGATGACTTTCGACGAGCCTCCTTCTCTTTTTTCACAGCAGGGCTTCTAGAAGACAAAAAAATTCAAAGAAAAAAGGAGGAAAAGTACCCGTCGGGACTAGTTCGTTTTCTATGACGACTATTGCTAGCAGGCTCTTTGCTATCTTTACTGCTTTGCTCTTCGTTCGTAGATGAAGCAGTTGACTTGTTCCTCACCCGAGTTGTCTTAGATTCTTCAGTGCTGGTTGCAACGCTTGTTTTTGATTTGTTAGATCTAGTCACCCGAATGGTGTCCGCCTAGAAGTAACAATAGTCTCGATCTGAGGGATATTCGACTCACTTGTGAAATCGCCGTAGACACCGCATCCGCCTGCTCCAAAATTTTATGATCAAGTTGCAAAGCAGCCAATTTTTGAACTTCATGAGCAACACCTTCCTTTCGGAATAAAGGAGCATAAATATCATCCATTTTCTGAATCACATAATATTAATAACTTGCATTCCCCCTCTGCGATATACCTCTAATAAGATATGAACCATCTGCAAAGCAGCTACTACTATTGACAGATCTTTGCTTCGCGGACTGGCCAATGCCGAAGCAATGTGACCTGACAGCGGTAAATCTGATAGGACAACCCGGAGAACATTAGCTGACATCGGACATATCATCCGTAGCATGACCCGAAGACATTCGAATCTAAGAGCGGGGCCGGACTAGAAGGAAAACAAGATTAATTCTATTATATATAATATCGTACCGAACTTCCATCAATCGCTACAAGAACAGGGAATAGAGAGGCAACAACTCGCTCGAAAAGATCAGGTTCTGAACGCAAAAGGAGCAATCTTCCGTCCATCTCAGAATTCTTGGAACCTACACAAGATTTTGCTTTAGAACCTTTCCGTGAGTTCATGCGCACACCTTTTGCAGGAGAAACTGATCTTCGTTGAACAGGTCTCTCTTCTCCTCCCGAGCTCAAATTCTTTTGAGTCATTTTCACGAGATCAACGCGGAAAAGGGAATTTCCGAAGGCTAACTCTTGTTGACCAGCTCCACTGGACTGTAAATTTCGTTAATAGATGTGATAAGATAACAATATTAGCAACCTTGGCCATTTCGAGCAATTTGTTTTCATGAGGTCTATATGGTTGCCATTGGGAATCTTCATCTTGATAATACCACAAAACATCTGCTATCGACTGTTTGAAGAAAATAGCATCGATATCGAACATTCCAGTTGTGGGCAATCTTGGAAAGAGTTCCCTAAAAAAACACAAAAACTGATAGAAATTTTCACTGTGCCATACCCGACTAAGAACACGAGATCTTGGAATTGATTCGGAGGTCTCTCTATGATATCAATTGTTTGGGATTCATGATTCCCGGTAAACAAGGAACGTATTGTAGCCTAAAACAAACAATGTTTTGAATTTCTATCGCCTGATTTCTCACTTGGTAATCCATACGAATTAGTGCTGCCGCTAAATCGGGACATTTGCAAGCAAACGTTCTTAACATTCTGATAATGGAAGAAAAAGTAGTAGAGCTCAATTGAGAAGGCTGAGCTACTAGATGTTGTTGGAGTAAAGCAAGCAATCTTTAAATCAACATGTAAAAATAATATATGGAATGATGCATTACCTATAATTGGTGCCTGCTATTTCCCTCAACTTGTCAGGATGATTTCGCAAGTTCTCAACTAGTCTAGCAAACAGTTGACAAACACTTTCAAGGCATCGCTTGTCTTCTAAACAAATTGAAATAAAAAACTTTTTACAAATGCCAACAACCTATTAAAAGTCTTTCAGTTAAATCTGATAAAGAATCTCTGACTAAATGGAAATCTGTAGACGTTAAATACATTGCACAATTCGATGCGATAGAGAAAGCAAGCCTTTGTGAGGCTAATGAGAAGAAATCAACATGTGAAATGCAAGCTGCTATTCCACCCTTAAAGCATAAACATTAAACTCAATAATATCGCATTGTATACAGCTGCCAGTATTGTCTTAGAGTTGCGTTTTGAAAGCTCTTCTAATGCGGTGAGTGCTTGTTCAGCCACATCTACACATTCTATCCGTTTTAACTAAATGACAAATTTAAATAATAAAAAATTGATGACAAGCCAATACTTTTTCAAGCAAAAATGGGACAGCATCAACAACTATCGGCTGAGCTCTTGGAACAGCTTCAAGAAGATTTCTCAGACACCGAGCAGCCGTTAACATCTTAAATTTTCCGATGAATAAGACACACTGATCTGCGAGTTTACCAGCTCAAAGTTATGTTCTTTTTGCAGCAATTGAATCAGTGAATGTGTTATTTCCCTAACGGGGAGATGACTAGGCAAATTATCCTCATTTGCCATCAGAAGCCATTCAGCCAATTCGCTGGCTGCTTCAGCTTGTCTCAGCTCATTGGCTGATCGCAATCCTTCCATAATACTCGTCACACGAGAATCTATAAAGTGTCAGGTTTAGTTTCATAATCTTCTCAACTTGTTTCATTTTTTATCATATCTCATTTCATGTGCAGTACTGTTCAATTCTAGGACAGTGATCTGACCGGAGTTACAGGAAGACGATATTCTAAAACTCGGACACAACCACACGTACCCATTGTCATACGGAATTCATGACAGTTCGAAATATTCCGAATCTTGTTAACGTCCAGCGCCGAATCGGAAAAATGCTTTTCTCGCGCTAAATCGACATCCATCGCGTCTTCATCCTCCGCCATTTCTGACGTTTTTAACTATGGAAACAGCTAGGCTGATTAGAATAAGATGAGATGTTTCTATAGACTAATATAGAGAATGAAGGAGAAGTTATTGCATTGTTACAGAGATATAGTAGCAAATATAAGAAGAACGACTACGAAAAGGTCCACATCAGCTGACACAGTCAGAGTCAGACAAAGCAGAGACGCAGAGACGAAGAGAGAAGGTTGTGTTCCAAATGTCACTTATTTGATATGTAGAACCACTATTTTCCATAGGATTTAAAAGCTAGAGAATAAGCAAATACGTTTTGATAAAGAAAGGCAGTCTTGTTAAAGGAAGGTAAAAGGACGATACTACTGATTATTGTTTGGATGAACAATCAAGACATTGTAATGTGTAGTTCAGAATACTACTGAAGAAAAGATGAAGAGCTGAACGATAAGTGCCTGCAGTTATTTGCTTACTTTGCAGACTATAAGGCTGCAGCGTAATACATATTCGCTCAACACAAAAGATGACCCACAAGCCAATGGTCACTCCAACTTTTGCTATATTCCCCTCCCACACTTCATTATAAGTTTGAAAACAGTACCTTGAGGAAAAGCCCGGTGGCTTCCTAAGAGATGCTGCATCCTTGGTACTAAACCATGAATGAATTGTGACGCTGCTGACCTGGAATAGATACAGGGTACTATTATTATTTTTATCAGGGATTGACCTTGAGATAGCTCTAACATGAGTAGAAGAAGCTGAAACGGGATCAAACAACATTCCATTTAAGCCAATAGGAACTGTACTTTGTGTAGGTTGGATAACGGGTATCTGCAAGAAGCACAAAATATAATAAAATGCTGGCTAGAAGTGTGGTAAAATGATAATTTTTGAATTAGCTCGAGTATCGAGAGAATCTTAATGATAGATGAAATTAAAAAATGGAACAAACAAATTGCTCACATTATACTTTTAAATATCAAACGTTGAAGAGATGATTTTCCAATGAGATATACACAAGTTAAATTTTTTCTGAGATTTGAAAGATAAATGAGATTGAGAGATAGATGTAAGGATTCAAAAGTTAAATCTACTAAGCGAGAAAGGTCGACTGAAATACTGAATAGAAGGAAAAACAAACCAAAAGGAACTGATAAAATGATAAATTCAGTTTACAATCGAAAAATAAAACTTAGAAAGTAATATAGGATAAACAAGAAAGTAACCAAGCTTTAGAAACAATAAAAAAACCCACCTGATTAATCATTGGATGAGCATGAAGGTAATGAGGTGCCATAGTTACCTGAGGAGCCATTAATGAACCACTTATAGCATTATTACGACTAGAATTCGCTGGATCATCGATCGATATATCAACTTCCCAAGACGTGCTTGGGAAAATTCGAGGATCCAAATTACTAAAGGAAAAGTTGAAGATGGAACTTTTTTTTTGAATAGAGATGATCATGCAACAAATCACCTTAATGCGACTTCTGGTGGATGAAGAGGGGGCATGGTGGTGGGAAGAGGCAAAGAAATTAAATTAAAAGAGCTATCAGGCTCAGAAATGGCTGATGCAGTCTCTCTCTCCGAAGGACGCATAGCACGCCGTATCCTAATTTTATGCTTCGAAGCACTATAACTTGAAAATTGTTTATGACGCTTTTATAATATCCACCTTTCATTTGATGTTCCCTCAACTGTATTGTTTGATTCTTCAAGAAGAGTTGCCATAACTGTTCCAGGCGTAATCTTCAACAAGTTTAGAAACACTGAAAACTTTGAAGAAGACACGTACTTGATCAGAAGTGCTGGGTGGTGTAATGCCTCCTCTGGCTTTTGAGCGAGTAATTCTTCCATTGTCGACTTGATCAGGGAAGAAATCAGTTAAATAACGCAGTTCTCTGCCAACACTAGAGTCGGTTTCTTCAATCTGGAGTGAAAGGAATACATAAAAACAATAAGCTTTATGATTACTTTGTTAGAATGATTAGATCCAGAAATAATTCTTCTCTGTTTTGAGTGAAGAGCACTTTGAACAGCGGACGAAGCCGCGGGGGCATTGGAAGACTCCAACTCGCGTCGTGATATATTGGAACCTACAAATAGCTAATGAATCATTATCGAAAATCAATAAAATACCTGAATTAGGCGAATGACGTTTACGAATTGACGATGAAGCTGTAGCTGCTTGATCAGTGTCTCCTGGCCCTGTAGACATCCGAGCTGCAAAAAAAACAGTTGATAGCGATAAAACACAGGTGGAACGTGTATTACTGGGGGATGCAAGCACTCTGCGTTTTCACTCTTATCAACACGCGAAAACATACCTAGAGCTCATAAAAGGAGAAGACAATGCTTTTTCGTTCAGTTAAGAGTTGAAATATGAATTTTTAGATATAGGAATATACAGATGAGCGATGCGACCTTACTAGCTCTGTCTGTCTAGCTCTGCGCCCGATCAATCTCCTCTCTTTCTCTGCAGCGTAACTAGCGTAGGTCTCGCAGCGACTGCCCAGCCCGCCCAGAAAAACCCAATAACTTGTAGTTTTCCTTCTGTTTATAGTAATGATCATACTAATGATGACTATTCAGCTTGTAAGTTTACATTATTTAAAAAAAAGTTTTCCCCATTCAAATACCAACCCGAAATGCGTGAAATCGTAGGCCTCGAGCTGCATGGATACGAATTCGCAAAACGAGATAAAAGAAAAATTTCACTAACCTTGTCTTGAACGCTGACGTGGTGATCGACTGGTAGTTTTTTCTGCTTTAGAACCCTGGTTTTTCGATGTCCCGGCGCCCAGCTTCTCCATCTTAAAACAAATTATTAGAAAATAAGAAGAGATTATTTCGTGGAGTAAAGAATGAATTTACATTTAGTGAATGAAGATTTTCAATTACTCGAAGTATATTTCTTTATGATTTCTCAGAATTTAGAAGATAATATAGCTTGATATAAGATAGAATGATAATCAATCTTTCAAAAGCTGTAAGCAGTATGAACGTAAGACAAAGCAAATGCGAAGCTCGTACTGAAAGTCAACAGGTAGGTTGCGAAATACGTTTTTTTCTTTTGTTTCGCATAAAAAAAAACAAAACTCTGTTGTCCGTGCAGCTGAAAATTGAAGTTTAAATTGATGAGCAAATTTTAGTACTGAAACTACGTGAAAACAACGAAGTGATAAGACGCTCCAATCTGGTATTATTGAGAAATTGTGAACCGTCGCGGTGTATGTGACCGATTCACCAAGTACAATACGCGAAAATAAAATCCGAGCAACGAAATGTTAAAGGGTGATCTTTTCGTTGTGGGAGCATCAAATAATTTTTTTTAGTCCTTTAATGCTGTGTTCTTCCATAGATTTTTTTCCACAAAAGCACTGAGCTTTTTAATGAATATTAGTATTATGACGTATTCGTGATTTTTCTTAAGTTTGAAATGTTTTTTATTCGTCGTTTCTTTTTTAGTTTATTAAGTTATCTCAATTTTTTTTAACTTGCTCTTATTATTATATTTTGGGATTTTTTATTTTAGCTATCCTCAAACTTTTTTTCGCGTTTGCGACTTGAATCTTTTGATGGAAAGAGGATCGAATGAACATGGCAGCGGTAGAAATGCTGCTGTAAGTAACTCTGGATCACGCTACGTTCCCCCGCACCTCCGTGGTAGCGGGGGAGGTGACGCTCCCGTAGATTCGAGAAAGAATTACGATAATGATAATTATGGCCGTGGTGGAAATGGAGGGTTGGTTGAAAATTCAACTTGTGAAATATCAGTTATACCTTATAGATACCGGGACAATAACTCCTACGGCGGCCCAAGAGAGTATTATGGTGGTAATGGCGGATACCGAAGTACTTTAATCTTATCTTTCTTTCTGATTATACTCTTTAAGGTGGCGGTGGACGTGGAGGTGGATACGGAGGCAACTCTGGTGGACGTGGATACAGCGGTGGCGGCGGTGGCGCTGGAGGCGGCGGCGTTGGCGGTGGCGGTGGCGGACGCTTCAATCGCGAGGATCGCAATCATGGAAGGTACGTTTTCCAAATGTTGCACTTGTTCAACAGTTCTCATTGAAGAGATCGATATGATGATAGAAGAGGTTACAATAATGGTGAACGTAGCCAGACCCAGAACTCGTATGTCTAATAGTAATTCATGAATCCTAAATCGGTTATAGTCGTTGGCAAAACCATGACGAGCGTGCTCCTGCTGCATGGCTTCATCAATTACCTAGAGATGAAATGCTCGAGAAAGAGCTTTTCGCTGGTCAATTGTCTGGAATCAACTTCGACAAGTATGAAGAGATTCCCGTTGAAGCTACTGGAGAAGATGTGCCTCCTCCTATCTCTCTAGTATCGAAGAAAATCTGATTTTTTTTTCCGTAATTGTGATTTTTTTAGTTTGCTGACCTGAAGCTTCATGCATGGATTGAAGAGAATATTAAGAAATCTGGTTATGAAAGACCAACTCCAGTTCAAAAATACAGTATTCCTGCTTTGAACTCGGGACGTGATTTGATGTCTTGTGCCCAGACTGGATCAGGAAAAACCGCTGCTTTCCTTGTTCCCCTGATCAATGCCATCCTCAGCGTAATTGATGATGCTTATAGTGATGCATTAAACTAACCATTTAGGATGGACCAGAAGCTGTTTTACCACCAACGACTACTTCTAGTGGGCGTAGAAAGCTATACCCATCAGCTCTTGTTTTGTCTCCAACAAGAGAATTGTCTCTGCAGGTTTTTCTTTATATATACGATCTGGTTTTTAGTTTTTTCTGTAGATTTACAATGAGTCTCGAAAGTTCGCTTATCGAACTCCCATCACATCTGCTTTGTTATATGGTGGTCGTGAAAACTACAGAGATCAAATCAACAAGCTGAGAGTTAGTGCATAGGATTTTGCAACCATAAAAATGGTTTCTTCAGGTTGGATGCCATATCCTCATTGCAACTCCTGGACGTCTAATTGATGTGATGGAGCAAGACTACATTGGACTTGATGGATGTCGTTATCTGGTTCTCGATGAAGCTGATCGTATGCTTGACATGGGTTTCGAACCTCAAATCAGACAGGTTTTTTGTTCTCTTGTTATTCTTTTATGTTATTGTTTACAGATCGTCGATATGTCTGAGATGCCGAGACGTGGAGAACGTGTCACTGCTATGTTCTCTGCTACTTTCCCAAAAGAAATCCAAGTAGGCTTTTTGGAATAAGGACTGTATGTAAGGGATTTTTTAAGATTCTCGCCCAGGATTTCCTCATGCCAACTTATGTCTTTTTGGCTGTTGGTAGAGTTGGTTCAACTTCAGAGAACATCATGCAAAAGGTTTTTGGTCAAATTTATTCGCTATTATGCTCCCTTTTTCAGATTGTTTGGGTCGAAGAGAACGAAAAACGTTCTTATTTAATGGATCTCTTAGATGCTGGAGGTACAGCTTGTTTTGTTGAGAAAATTGAGTTGTTTTTTTAATAGGACCTAATGCTCTTACACTTGTTTTCGTTGAGACGAAGAGGGGTGCATCAGACCTTGCCAACTACTTGCAGGGTGTTGAATATCAAGTTGTTGCAATTCACGGAGACTTGAAACAATTCGAGCGTGAAAAGCATTTGGATACATTCAGGTAACTGAAATTTTTTGAACTTTTCCGAACGCTATATTTAGATCTGGTGTTGCTACCATTCTCGTCGCAACTGCTGTAGCCGCTAGAGGATTAGACATTCCTAATGTCAAGCACGTTATTAACTATGACCTACCGTCTGATGTCGATGAGTATGTTCATCGTATTGGACGTACTGGCCGTGTCGGTAACATCGGTGAGAATATAATGTAGTATTTTCTTGCAAGTCATTAAGTTCAGGTTTGGCAACTTCTTTCTTTAACGATAAAAATCGTAATATTGCTCGTGAACTGATGGATCTCATTGTTGAGGCTAACCAGGTAAACATTAAAACAAATAATGTGAATTGATGTGATGATTCAGGAAATCCCCGAATGGCTTGAGCGAGTGGCCGGTGATTCCTCACGCTACGGATCACGCGGAACTGGAAACCGTGGTCGTGGAAGTGGCAACAGATTCGGAGGTGGGTATACTTGATCAATAACAGCGCAGCAATACTAAAAAAAAAGAGAAAAACAAATCTAAGTTATGAAATTTTCAGGAAGAGATCATCGTTTGGATAACGGAGCAAGATCCGGTAACAACGGTGGTGGCGGTTTCAATCAACGCTCTTCGGTTGGACTCCATGGTATGGCTCAGAATCAACGTTCTCAGAAAACTCCAGCCGATGATTGGTGGAATTAAACCTTATTCTTCTTAAACTATTTTTTTTAATGATTTCGATTGGTTTTTAAACTAGTATTTTCTCTTCTTTATTCAACTTACCTCTTGGTCAGTTGGACAAGACGCGCGTCGCATTGGGCGGACTTGTTTGAGGTGCCAGTGACGAATATTCGTTTTACTTCACTATATTGGTGAATCCGAATTCAAACTATCACTGTTTTCTCTGTGTCCCGTTCTTCATTCTTGAATGATCGTTTGAGTGTTTTATCACATGAACCCCGGCTAACAGCTCTCAAACCTTAATATGGTGGCTTTCATAGGTTTAACTTGTTGTTCTTGTTTAAGAAATGACTTTCTCAGTCATTAATTGTTATTTGATCAGCACAACTTTGTTACGCAATCCCTTCTTCCTGCTCCCAATCTCTTCTCAGTTGCATTACTGTTTGTGTTTCTAGTTGTTGTTCGTTTTTCAATTATCCTTGGATAGTCATCTGGTGTGATTAGCCATTTTCTTCTTACTTTACGCGGCGCGTTTCGTTCCAACTCTCGACCACGGGTTTGGTAATTTTTAATTTAATAAAATGATACAATTACATTAAATTTGCAATTTTCTGTATAACGTTGTGCATGGTGAAGTAAACTTTTCATTTTTTGTCATATCGATTGATGTCAGCTGATATATGGTGTCATGCCTTGCTGCATATCTTGGGCATCTTCTTCAATTATTGTGGATAAAGTACAAAAGCTTCATGTAATGATTGTTTTCTGATCAATTTCTGTTATCTATATAAGATATTGTTTAGCTTTTTCGTTACTGTTTCAGCTAGAATGACAGAAAGCCGAATTCCAGTCATCGTATCCAGGCGACGAATCGATTTTCCAATAGGGGAATCAAATCCTCAAATGTTTACGTTATTTAATCCCTATGACTATATTATCAAGTATAGAGGTTAGTCCTGAAGCAAGAACTCTTATATTGCTGTTATAGTCCTGGCTACTTCACCCACTAGTTATGAAGTTGGATCACATTCGGGTTTTATTGATCCCAACTGTTGTAAAGACTTGTGCGTTGTTAACAAGCATTTTCTTTCTCATGTTTCTGTTATTTAGCACTGTACGATGTAAATTAACGATGGAAGTTGGTAATGTGGACAAACTAAGAGTTGAAATTAAACCAAAGCACACATCAAACGTGGCTTCAAGTTTGAATAGCAGTGTTCAACAGTAAACTGTTTCAGATGTATGGATCCAAGGAAATTGAGCTTGTTACAACTGCCCGAAGTACAGAGAGCTCTAAAAGACCAAACATATCAGATTTAACAAATGCTCCTGCAATTCATGCGAACGAGCCTAGGGCTGCCGACGCACAGGTTTGTTCTCCTGGAAATCTGTTCTGTTTACATATTCCTTTTTAATGCTTAGAAGATTTGGCTTATGATTGAAGCCTTACTAGAATTTTTCATTTTCTCTCAATTCCTGCGCGAAACATCATTCACGCGCTATAGAATATTTAAACTTTCAAGTCAAAGATGAATATGCAGATCATGAATTTCATTAGCATCTTAATTAAAAACGTCATTTTGTAGGATTTAAACCAAGCACCATATTTGGTCGTGGGATTGCTGTGCGCTGTGGCATTGGTCTTGCCAACGGTCCACGAGCCTGGGGCTGCTAATTCGAATATTCCCGAATATTTCCATCTTACGTTGCCTCAGAAACTAGTTGCAGCTTATATATTAGGCATAATATCGATCCTTTTAATTAGGCCGACGTAGCTTTGCTTTTTTACGTGGTGTGTGTTTTTGATATTTCGATAGTTTGTGATTTTGAACGGGTTTTGTTTTGGGCGGAGTTAGGCTGGACCAATGCTCCGTCATCGCTGAGCGAATAGTGAAAAAAATTTCCAATACAATTGTATATCTAAATATTCGCTTCATAAATTGCAAGAGATTTCTATTGTTGCTCTATCTTTATTAGAACAAATAACTGTGCTACAGTTCCAATACAATACACAATTAACAGAAGTTAAGAAAAAAACATAAACTATATAAACAAATAAAGATTTAACGTTTATCATCATTTTGCTAGTTATCCATTTGATACAAGAAATGAGAGTCAGAGAGAGATCCTTTGAAAAGAATTAAAGATGATGATAGAGGATTTCAACATGGGGCACCCGCAAGGTTTTTTTTCTTTGGAATCTCATTATTACATATTTGGTTACGACCTATATTTTTACTAAATGTCTGTTTCAGGATAGGAAAGGCTCTTTTACACATGAAATGGTATGTGTCGATGATGTTCTAGACGTTGTACGTAATGTGTTTTAGAAGAAAATATGAAGAAGTTCTCTTCAAAGGTTCTTAGAAGAAGCTCAAAGGCTCAGGCAGGGTTCGTGTTATCGATGAGGATGTGAGTGAATCAGTGAATAACCGTGAGAGCAACTGTAGAACCAACTAGATGACACATGTATGACTTTCTTAATAAATTTCTTGATTTGATTCAGTTCTCGTTATCATACTTTTTGACTTTGTTCAGAAATCTGAGACAGCTGTTGATATTCATTAATGCGTTTCAATTCAACGGTTGAATTTCAAAAGAATCGTCATCTTCTTTCTGAAAACTCACACATGTTTTAAGAAAACATAAATAGACTCACAGGTACGAGGGGTATACACGCTAATGTAAGTTCTTCGTGGCTAGCTATGAACTCATGAGTTGTTTCGTCCTTATACAGCACTGGCATTCTATATTTAACAGGCTGACATCGGATTTCTGTATAAGGAGAAAGATGTGACGGTCGATCACATTCACAAACAACTTCTTCCAAAATTTCAGGAACTCTCTAAAGTGATGGAAACTTGAGAGAAGAGCAAATAATGAAATTACGTTTGAATTCCTGTTGGTAATGTGACGATAAGGACAAACGGCCCGCTGCTCGTAGTTGAGCACGAAAGGCGCTTGCTTCCGATTCCGGACGGTCCTTCCACATATGACATGACGTCGGATCCGTTGCTTCAAAACGAATTCACTGTCCGTTGGTAAGACCATCGTTCTAAATATAAACAAATTCAAAAATAGTCGTGAAGATTATTAAATCCTAATGCGATGATGTGAGAGACCTTTAAGATGCCCTTTTCGTATTGCTCAAAATACAAATAACGCTAATGAATTAAAGTGATCTAGACAAATATAAAAGAAAAAAGAGAGATAGGGAGAGAAAGAGTGAATGTGAAATATTTTTGGAGTCGAATCAGCCGGCAGTAGCCGTCCTGCTGTTGGCTTTGTTTCGAACAATAATTGGTTTTTCAAAATGTCTTCATACTGAATGGAAGGATTGGGAGACGATGGCACGTTTATTCGATAAATGCCACAAACAAATGAGAATTAGTATTTTTTAAATTTAATTTACTTAAAAAAGTGGGATATGGGATCTTGTTGGTCTTCATCAGCCTCTTCTCATATCTGGCATCATATTCCTCCCCCTCGTGTCCACCCCCTCTGTCCTCTGATCGTCATTTACTCCATTTTCTTCGGAGTGTCACTTTCACACTTTTTCTGGTGTTGTTCGTGCAAGGATGGGTACTACCTGTGAACCCGCAGCTCATATGTGATCTGCTTGAAACTAAAGAGGAAGGAAATTTGATTCGAATACGAGGAAGAGAAAAAATTGTAGTTTAGGGATTCGGAATTGTTCTAATCTCACGAAAAAACAATTCTTCTCTTCACATTCCTAAGAAAAAATTTGTTGACTACAATCGCTTCATGTTTCACAAACTGTATTCTGGTGCGACTATACGTGTGTGATGTAGGTTTCACTCACTTATCATCTAAAAAAAGAAACGTCAAATCAGATGTTTCTCGCAATCTGAATTTGTTTGAAAAAGCTACATGAATTAATAGTCAGGTTAGATGAATATTATATTCTCAGCTGATGAATATTCACAAATGATCAGCTAATGATTCTTAAATTTCAAAGGTGTAGGAAGAGGTATTAAATATTCGTTTTTTGGAAAAAAAGTTCTTTTTTTTTCAGGAAAAAAGTGCTGCACTCAACAGTGATTGACAGCAAGAGTAGAATGATGCCGTACTCTTTCACTCAAAATGTTTTCAAAACTTCAAAGAAAAGAAATAAGAACTTACAGTGGCCCTCTGGCCATAGAATGTCCTGCGTTAGACAGGAACACTTTTCCAAATACATATGTCGTCATATTGCCCTGACAAGCTCCATAACTGGAGTGGACTTGACCAACAATAGACTGAAAATATTGACTTGATCTCGAGTAAAGTTTAGAACCTTCTCGAGAATGACGAGGAGGTAATATATAATTGGTACATGGGAACACCTAGTGATACTTGAGAGAAAAAAAAACCAAAAAAAAATTCCGACAAAAAAAAAGAAGCGAACATCTTATTCGAAAACAATGAAAAAACTTACAATTAAAATAAAAAGTTGAAGTACTGTAGAAAGCATGACCGTCAGGAGACTGAATTGTTAGAATACTCTAAATGTGATGATGTGTAAGGAGAAGCTACCGTATTTCAAATAACTTCTGAAGGCTGAAGCAGGCTTTTATATGGAGAGAGAGCTCTGAGCGGATGTTGGGCGGAGCTAGCCGTCGTGAGTGTGGAAGCTCTTTCCCTCTTCTTCTGAGAGACGTAGTGAAAAAGAGATAGAGAGTAAAGAAAGATTATGAAACGAGAGAAAACAGACGTCTGAAAGAGTTATTTGGATGGAAAAGAGATAATTTATAAAATATTGGACAAAATTTTGGCGGCTCAAGACTAAAGGGAGATGACACGGATGCCTAGTGGGCGACCTGAAATACCACGACCTCATGCTTCATCAGTTATTACCAGTGGGCACCGAGCTCTTCCATTATATCGGCCAAAAACTATTTGTCATCAAATGAATAAAAACATGACATATCTAGCCCACGTTTCATATTTTGCTCATTTAAGGTTTAAAAACGTTACATAACTTTTCTAATTTCGGAGCTATGCTAAACTACTCACAGTAAAAGTTATTTTTGGAGACCAATTAGCTTAGAAAACAGACAGCTCAAACGTTCGCGGAAAAGTGTTCAGCGTTTTACCATGCTTGTACTTCTTAAAGAACCGTTGAAACAGAGATTTTTGATGGGGAAATGGAAAATGTCAACAATTGACCAAAAAAAGTAGTTGTTTATGGCTTCTGACGAACCCTTAATCCTCTCTTCTTAACTGATTAGCCGAGATGTACTGTCATCTGACTTTATCATTTCTAATCATTGGTGTTTCTGATAATCGTTCTCAATCTAGTACATCCACCAATTACACTTCGTTAAACGTTTATTTGGACTTTTTTGGAGCTCTCAGTCTTGGTAATGCTTATGCCACCATGCTATTGTGCGAAAAATGAAAACAGTTATACAAAAAAAACCTCTTTCAGAAAATAGAACTTCTTTTAGAATTGCAGCCGTCTCGAAACTTTGCTCATGTAGTATGGCTGCTTATTGGGCGGTTTCTAGTTTGAATTTTGAGGTCACTGAAACAAACGTTGATTAAAGCCGAATTCCAAATTCCTCCTAGCAACAGGAAGTCTTACGTCACAAAGATCAAACTCACTTTATCAGAAGGTGAAGACGAAAGAGGCATTTCCATAATTGATATCACAAGATGTTATCCTTCATGCTATATTCTTGACCTCCAATAAATAGAGAAAATGACATCATTTTCGTGGCTTCGGCAAAACATTAATTTCCGGTTCGACTAAAGTATTACATTAACACATTTGCCTCAAAAGAACTTGCAATGATTTCCTCTAATCCTTTCATTTATTATATCTCAAACTGTTCGGTTCTCTCCTATTTTCTTGATATTTCCTTCAATATTAATAGTTTAGTTTTTATAACTATTTTTCATCTAAACATAACACTTAAGAAAAACTTCTTTCAAAATCCCAGCAAAGGTTAAGAACCATCATTGTGTAGAACTGGGATTATGATGCACAATGATATTATATTGGAGACCGAATTTCTGAGTTTCAAAAGGTTTCTAAAATCCCATTTAAGGTATGTCTATCAATCGAAGATATTACAAAACATAAATGTTTGCTAAGACAACTTTTGAAAATATATATTTTCAAAGCAGTGTTTAGACTGGCTCATCCATATTCTTTTTTTTGTAAATCTTCCCATAGCCTACTAAGTTCTCGAGTGAAATCATTCAAAACACAAACCATCAAAAAAATCCCGTTGTTTTGGTTAACTAAGTAAAACTTCATCCTTTTTTTGACCGCCACCCATTGATCTGTTGTTCATAGCAACCACTCTCTGTCTGCATTTAAAGCATAATAATAAACAAACATATGACGTAGAAAGTGTGAAATTTATGCTAATTAACAACTGCAAATAACCCACTCATGCTTTCAGAAGTGTGAAGTTCAAAAGAGCAGCGCTATTACCCTGCAGCATCCTCTCAACTTTTTATTAGGTAAATTTGGTCGCAAAAGCGCGTGAATTAATTTCTCGTACGCCTTGATTCAAAAAGAATTTGAATTTGACTTTTCTTTCATAACCAACTATGGCAACGTTTTCTAATTGGTAAGCTTACGTTCGAGTTTTTGATGAATTTCAAATATATTAAGGAAAAGAGACAGAGGAGATCAAAGTTTTATGCATACAGCAGATGTGGACAACAGACTAAACCTATTAGAAGATAGCCATGTTCATCGAGGAGATGCCCACGACATTTTTAAAGATTGTAAGATTCATTCAGAATTACTTAGTGGAAGACCTCTCATTTTCAGTGGACTTCAATGTACACAGTGATTTTCATGATGTAATCAAACATTTGCAAAAAGGAGAAACGTTAGATGTGTGGGCGTCGTTCAATGAGGTGTTTGCAGCTTTGGGGAAAAAACTAATTTTTTCTTCAGAGAATAGGTGACATGCAAAAAGCTTTAAATATTATGTTGGGAGAATCCCCGAATTCCGCTCTAAAAGCGATCTTAAAATATATTTCATACGAAGGAAAGGCTTACAAATTAATCTTAAAGGAAGAACATTTAGTAGAAAAGTATACCGAGCAGGAGGTGAGGTTTTCGAAGATCTGCTTTTATATTTCTTAGCTTTTAGGAGACGTCAGTATTAGCTAGTTTGATATGCAAGGATACGGAATTCCGGGCTGTCTATGTGAGTCAATTGTACTTTCCGTGCAAAGCTTATTTCTACGTTTAGACTTTATGGCGTTGGTGTCATGATGCTTCTATTGAAGATCCCAAAGGTTTCTCTGAGTTGGCCGAAGGTGTGCAATCTTTGAGCAATGTTCGAAATATAAGGTTGTTTATGCTCTTTAATCTTCATGCTCATCCGCTCATGCTAGATCCGGAGTTCTACGATCAATTAACAACACAAACTGTGGTGCTGATGTAGATGCTAATCCTACGGATGCTGATAAACCATTAGAAGAACAACTCTACCGAGTCTTATTCAGCCTCATAAGATGTGGAAAGATTGACAACGTGAGAGAAAACAATGTTTTCAAAAGTCTTCCCGTGTTTTCAGGCTATTGAGTTAGTTCGACACGTAGGAATGCCTTCTCTTGCCGTACCGTTGCACATGTATAATTTCTTAGTTGATCCCACTCTCTCGCCTCTCTCAGCTAAAGATAGCAAGGCGTCAATACCTGCAAAACGGGTACTCTTCTTGGAAACAATGAAGAAAATGTATCAAACTCAAGTATTCACATCTGCTTCATCGCTCAATACGTTATAAATCTGTTTAAGACTGGGGCTACTCCGTATTTGAGAATGATTTGGAGCTCTCTTGGTGGTCTTTTGGAACCTCTTCTTTCCATGGCAACAAGAACCGAAGATAGATTGTGGTGTTATTCCAATGCTGTTACATTGAACAAGTTTGGCGTTTTCTCTTTTCCCACAGTTACTCGACTATTTAGATTACAAGAAGCTTGTAATGGTTACGTGATTGGAGATGTGCCGTCTTCATCTCAGACTATCTTTGAAGAAATTCTAGCGGTATGATTCGCCACAGAAACCATATTTGACTCAATTCTCAGACTGAACGTTTGCCATATTTTGTGCTGTATGATTTAATCCTACGAAAGGAATGGGCTGAAGTTGTATCGTGGGCTGCACAAATTGTCAGGTCTTCTCCAGATATGGATAATCAACTTTTACGGTTTTTATCCAATTTGACGTCAATAGTTATTATCAAGCAAATGAACCATTCTGTAAGCTTACTGGGCTTCTTTTGCATGTTACTATTCTTTCCATTAGGCTGAAGATGTTCATGACGTGCTGAACGCTTATATCGAAAGGTTAGCGGATAGAGAAATGTACGAGTTTATCCCAACCTATGCATCTTTTCTTCCATATCCCATGTCTGTACAACTACTTCTTAAAATCATGTCAGGTAGCAGTTTGAATTGAATTGAAGCCTTATTACGAAACCTTTTTCTCAGTTATTCGAGGAGACGAAGAACGAATGAAATATTTGAAAGCAATTGATGACGCAGGCTTCAACCGGGATGATCTGACAATATTATCCGCCCAAAAAGAATTGGTATTTCGTTTTTTAGATTTACTTTTTTTATTTTTTCCCATAGCACGATACATCAGCTCATGACCTATTGGACAACCTTAAATGGCTTATCCTGAACGGTGAAAGGACACTGCCATCTCTGGTGGAGCAGACAAACAACTTATTCCGTCATTTCATAGGTAAGTAGTTGTGTACATAACACAAACGGTTCAACTCTTATAGCTGGTGGCGATTTGGAGTCGGCTTATGCTTTAATGAATAGTACAAGCTCTTCAGACATTGATTTACCGACCATGCTAACAAATAGTAAGTACAAATCTCGGATTTTCTATTTTTTTTCAATTTGCAGTTGACGTCAAAAGTGTGAGTGCCAAGTTTGAATCGGAAATCAATGAATATAATTGTCATCATCAATACATGGTAAATAATTTTTCCATTCTGGTTTACACGGTCTTCCTAGGAGACTCACAATACGTGTGAGAAACTGGCTGATCTTGCGATGAAACTCATGAAGTATCAAGTGCAGAATTTACAGAAAAGGTAATTTGGTTAACCTTTAATTCTATTCTTCTGTTCTTAGCATTTTGAATGAAAATGACGATGATTGGAAAAGTATGGATCTTGTTCAAACAACTGGAAGGGCTCTAGAGGAAAGTCAAAAGCAGAAAGAACTGAGAAAAAAACTTGCCAGCATAGGAATAATTGAAGAGGTTTCCCACCCATTCTTTGTTGGAAATTCTGTTTTTTAAAATACAGCGAGCACTTGAAATGAGCGAACAGCTGTTCCGACACGATGGATGGCGATTTAGCTCTCCCGATGAGGTTGTCAAGCTCATTTATTTCATAGTAAACTTTATTTCTAGCCTGAGAGATCAAAGCAACTAACACAACTAAGAGATCAATGTGGAACGGATATTTTGGAGACATTGATAAACTCCTTGCATGAAATTCCTGATAGCAAAGCAATTGTGGAAATCGCTATGCTTTTAGCCGACTCAACTTTAGACGTTGAAAACGTAAGTGAGAATATATGAACCTGTTAAAGTTTTATAATTCAGATGTTATCACGATCCAACTTAAGGAAAATCTTATCTCAAATTCATAACTATACCGGTCATTTGTTTAGCTAACTTATTTATTTTAGTTGGAATTAATTTCGTTTTCTATGTTGTTAAATCGAAATTGTTGCTGTCTGCTGATCAAATGAAGTTGTTCACTTCGTAAAAATCTTTATGAAAATCAACGAAAACCTCGTAAAGCTATAAGATTTGAGCAAATTCAATCAGTTATCTATACCCGTCCTGTTATTAGGATAATGTTTAAATATGAAATTCAATAAAACCGTGGATGGTCGAAATCTCGTTGGATGTCGAGGTAGGATGCTGCTAGAGTTCGAACCTGTAAACAAGATATGGTAAATAGCAAATTATGTACAGCAAAACCTCCAACACGTAATTGGATCCATCATTATTATCCCAAAACTCTTTTCCTTCACAAACGTATTTTAGACAAAATTCGCACATAGCTCCCACAGGTATTGTTGATGGGAGGAAGATGGAAAAAGTGAAGTAGTCCAATTTTTCCTGATGGTTACTATTCAAGAATTGAGCAGGCATTTCGACGAAGCTAGTCCATTTGTCAACGGTATAACGGACGAAGACCTTAAAGAAGGGAAATAGACAATTTGTTTTCCTTTTCTCTCTTTCACCTGCTTAGAGTATGATATATTAAGAACGGATATGACACCACTGAAGGTCATGCCTATAACATTTGAAGATTTGAGACAAATTCCATTGTTCTTAGCCTGAAATGGACTTATTGAATTGATTAGTTCAGATTGGTCTCTTACTTTGTTAGCTAAATCTCTTTGGACTTGAAGATGATCTTTCCATACTGGGTATGGGCTACTTTTCAATTGTAAATATCGCGGGCAGTTAAGAGATGAAGTATTGCGAAGCTGAGTGACAGACTGATTCGAGCTGAAAAATGAAAAGAAAGGTTCAAATAACTTTTTTTCCCTAACCTTCTTATTGTAGGATTGACAACTGGAGGAGAAGATGAAAAAAGTTCTTCATCACTGGTGTTGTAAGGGAAAATTGGTCTAATATGGCATAGGTCTAGGCCCATAGAGTCGGCAAAACTAACAACCTATTGAGAATTATAAATTAGCGTTTAAGATGTCCGAGCGAACCTTCTTCTCTTCGGCACTACGATTACATTTTTTCAAAGCACTATTTAATGACTTTGAACGTTCCACGCTGAAAAAGGGAATGTTTAGGTGAAGTAGAGGAATATTTTCTAATTTCAGTGTTGAAATTTTGTGTTGACCGAAGCTCACCCTTTGAGATTTTTGGAAAAACTTGGCGGTGATAAGAAATTAGGTTCAGTTTTATTCATCATTTTCTATAAATTCTGCACAAACATTCCTATAAATTATGAGAATGATTGATGAAAAGAGATGAGAGAAAAAGGAGAGATCATCAAGAGTAGGGGGGAGGGCTTCGATCAATAACTGGCACATTCAAGCTTTTACCCAGCTCGGGCTCGAAAAAATGTCGGAATTAAGGTTCTGCAGAAAGATTAAAGATGTTAGTTGAAGTGAATGGACCAGCTGTTAAGATGTCTGATGAATCGATGGGATTCCCGGGAAATTCGAAAGGCTTATAAGACTTTATTGTTTCAATAAATAAAAGCAGAGAAGGTTGAAGAAAAAGAAGAAATGACTGATAACGAACTTTCCGTAGTAATTGTACACAAGAAACCCACGGGGTCTAATAAAACAAGACAAACATGTCCGCTTGATAGGATGAAATGTAAGAAATGAAGTCTCAAATAGAAATTTTCTTCGTTTACATATTATCAGTGAAGAAATCGACGAAAAAGTGACATAAAAGGTAGATCAAACATTCACTTTTTCCATGGGAAAATGGGTTGCACGGGGGGTTTCTCAACGAGAAAGTTGTTGAAGAGAAGAAGAAGATAGCAACTGCTCAAATTTCTCTTGGAAGAGAAAAATATGAAAATCTTTGTAGACATTGCTTTCTTTGTTCAAAAAACTATCTACTCACTCTCTCGTTAACTTCTCATTCTTACAATATGTAAAATAAGCTTACTCAGTACAAATTTGAGAGTCATATTCACTAAAACTTCGCAAAATCATGAAACGTGTGTCCTAAGCCGGCGTCTGTTAGTATTGGACGAGAATTTGCTAGAAAAATCGAAGTGACGATTGAAAAAAGAAACGACGAGGAAGTGCAAGACATGAATGGACGAGATCGAACTTAGTTTGAGAAAAGTTTCAGTAGGAACAGATGGTTTTTAAACGAAATCCAAGTACTTCAATAGGTAAACAAAGATAATCAGAGAAGTTCGGAGTCAGGGGAAGCACCAACACATGAGTCTGGACGGATTACAACTTAAGACACGCAGAGGCAAACGAGAAGCGTCGACGTGATTTTTCGAAGAATCGGGCTTTCCCTCCTCTTGTCTCTCTGCCTGAACGACGGCTAGAGATGCATAAGGGAGAAAATGAGCTCAGTGGAACAATTGCAAGAGGCGGACCAAGTACACGGATGTTTTCGAGACCAACACAGGAGAGTTGCAAGGTTCTGCGATAAGAAGAGAAGTTCATAAGTCATCTCTAAAAATATCGAAAGAGGTTTCATTTCATTCTCGTTATGTGCGAAGCCTTTCATGGGGCCTTATAACAGATCTCGAAGGAGCTCATAGCAAAAATTGAGAATCGAGTACTTGACAGATGTGCTTACGTGATTTTTTTGCGATCACAGCTTATTTTTCTTCTTGAAACTCTACCTTTGTGAATGAAATTTGTTTCAAACAAGTGTAAAAACGAAAGAATTCATCAAAAATGTCACACCGTCTAAACTTCATTGTGATCAGCCATGACATTAGCAAACATTTTTTGGATAATGAAGAGATTTAAAAGAAAACTAACTTAAGATAGGCCGATAAATTGGACAATCCATTTTCTGTGTTAGCAATATAAGAGTTTTCGTATAAGGCTGGGACAGGCTTCTCAATTTTTACGAAAAGACGACGCAAAAGATCCAAAAGTTCGTCTTTAGCTCGATCAATAACCATGCTGAAATAACTAGTAATGAGTGGAGGATGTGTGAAAGAAGAAAAAGTTTTTTTTGCATGAACTGCTTACGATGTGGGTGCTCTGTGTGAGGAATGACTTGTATGGAGTTAAAAGAAGAGTTTGGGTTTATATGTAAAAAGGGCACAAGTAGAGGATAAGTGAAAATCAATTTAAAACTGCAAGAGCAAGTTTATTCTTGTGGAATTCACGTACTGCATCTATTTAAAGCATAGTGGCAGAGAGGTCTCTCCCCGGATCTCATCAAACGAACTCAAAAAATCAGATCAAAGAGTTTTTTGTCAGAAAATTGCTATAAGTGCATACATTCTCGCGGAATGTCATTCGACAGATTAAACTAATGCTCTGAGGAAGATCTGAACTTACTTGTTGAACTAAATTCATGTAGTTATTCTTCTCATATCCTACCCCTCGATCAATATTTCAGAGTAGAACGTGCATTATTGAAAATTCCGAAATCCAACTGACAATAACTCGGCTTGAATTTTTTCTTTCTTCAAAATTCATGTGGCACAACATACAACAAAGTATCACGAATTCCTATAAAAGTTGATTTCTTCAAGAATCTGATTAAAACGCTCAGCTTTTCATGTCTTCAAACGCTCTTTCCATTTTTTTCAAGCAAGATGTCAAAAATAGTTAGTTTGATCTTTTAAATGATGGGTTTTTCTCGTAAATTCGGGAAATTTCGTATAATTCATCAATCACCGAAACTTTTTCTCACAACATGGTGTCATAGAAACAACAAACCTTTGATCATGCAAAGAATAATCACCGAACTTATGAAACGGAGAATCCATTAGAAGAAAAGTCCATGCAGTTTGAAGAACAACCATATTGAACAGCAAAATGTGGGATAAGGGATGCAGAATTTCCGAAATAAGAAATGATCCCATCTTTTTCAATGACCAAACTGACGTAACAGAAATAGGTCTTTTACGATTGGTTAAAATCATTTGGTCTATCACTAAATGACTCGCGTGCTATTCACGTGAAAACCAAAAGCCGTGAGCCACCATTAATAATCAGGTCATTTTAGACGTTTATACGTATCGAGTAGTCTGCTTCAAACTGTTACGTACATGACAGTTGCATTTTAAAATCTCACTCGTTCAAAATGGTTGCATTTGACGTTGTCACCTGTATGCAGCAGATGGTGAAGTATTTTTCTTCTACAAAACATTTACTTTCTACAAGTATCTATCCTAACTTCCATATTAAAACCGTTCTTCGACTCAGATTCAGATGTTTCTCTCTTTTGTGGTTTTTTTTAGAATTGTTTATAGAATCGAAGAGATCACACTTATTATACTCGTGAAACTGGAAGATCAGTTGGGGAAAGGGAAGTTGATTTTTCAGATAACTTTGGATTTCGCCTGCTTCGACTATCATTCAATTGTTTTAGCATCTGAAACCCATTTTACATTTCTATTCATTTTGATTGGAACCTGATAATGAGCAAGAGAGTAGATGTGCTTCGGAGTGCTTTGTTGAGGCAAAGACAATTTCATTGAATGGAAAACTTCTCGAACTCGCCATTGTTCCGTACTATCAGGCATCTAGAAAACATAGAAGATTATGGTGAATCGTATAGAGTGTTGGAACCGCTTGTCCCCTCAGCATAGTTTTCATGCCCATATAGACTTCATTATGTCGAAGAGCATATATAACAACGTTCAAAGTTGGGTTAAGTAAAGCTAGCTGAAAATTCATGAGGTTATTGATCAGAGTATGAAAGAAACTCACTTTCGTACATATCAGGTATATAGTGTCTATTTTTTGGCAGTATATTGAATCTTCCGGAAGTAGATAGTCTAAAGACAGAACAGTGAAAAACGGTAACACAACTACGAGGAAAGTCAGAACAGCGAATAAACCGAATGTTTGGACAATTCGATTTCTCCGTTTTTGTACTGTTTCCAGACAGCGGCTATCTCTATAGAAAGATCATTTCTTTCAAAGTTTTTTTTGGAAATTACCTGACAAGTTTAGAGCTTGTCCGTATTTTGAAAGCTATGATGACAGTCAAGTAAATTATGACAGCGAGGAAGTGTCCAGCAGCAACAATCGTTGCTTCAAATCTCAAGCAACAAAGTTAGAACATTATTAGTAAAAGAGAAACACCTCTTATAAACAACTCCAAAAAGATCACGAGAATCACATTGAGAAGTGACATGTCCAGGTAAGGTTATAACTTGATTAAGGCCGAATGAAAAACATGAAAAGTGAATGAGAACAGTGAGAAAAACAACAATACTGAAAAGAAAACGAATTAATATTAGATAATTCAAATAAATTCAATATACATTGAGTATTGTTGATGAAGGGAATAGTAGAATAGAGGTTTCATCACAGCGAACAAACGATCTAGTGCTATGAAAGGGAGAAGTAGACTGATAGTACAAGCTGTTCCAGAGAATAGATAAACATGAGGCAATCTGCAATCGAACTCATCTTTCATGATCGAAATCCAAAATTCAAACGTCAAACATGCTGTCCTGTTCACAATTGTTATTTCAGAGCTTTGTAAGAATCTGTAGAGACCTGCAGATACAAAACCAATTCCCAGTATAGAATTGAGGAACACAAGCATTCCCAATAGGGCATATTCCTAAGCTCAGTATATATAATGAAGAAAATAACTGAAATTGATTTACCTTATGGTTACGTAAAGCTTTATGTATCATAATGGTTATGAATATTAATGTATTTGTAAATGTTAATAAACATCCCATAACGATATATAAAGCATGCTCTATGTCCATTCTGCAACAAGGTAACCTATTAA